GCCTGGGACCTTGCTTAGCCCCCTCACAGTGAGTCCCTCCTCTCAGTTGTGAAGAGATGGCTCCATGCAAGCAGGCCCACCCTGAGACTGGGGTGCCTTTCTGTTTCTGGGGAAGCTGGTGGTCCTGGAGCTGGACAAAAATTCCAGGGTAGCCCCTTTGGCCACCTGGTGGGCCATCTGAGGAAAGCTGGGAGTCCTCAGCCAAACAGACCAGTGCCCCTTGAAGAACCCCTTGGTGAAGCCCTCCCTCAACATCAGGGAGGGTGGTAGGATGGACAGTACTGAGGCCAGTCCTCCAGCGTTCCCCCCCCACACAAGGGAGTTGTCTCCCTACCCTGGAAACACCCCCATAGGCTGAGTAGGGACTTCAGGCCCATAGGGAGGTGGGTGCTGCAACTAGTAGCCCAACTTAAAGATCAGCAGGTACAGGAAGTGGAGAGTATGGCTTGTGGGATACCATAGATAGGGACCAGAGCTGTCTGAAACTTAGGCCTCTCTGCCACTCTCCTTCTGCAGTACAAATAACTACCTTCTACGGGGCCTGTGCCCCACCTGCCTACCCTAGGGTGTCCAGGAGGCTTGTTGGGTGCTGCCCAGACTCCTGGACCGGGTGGGGGAGGTTCTTTTCCCACCTCCCAGAAGGGAGGTGTTCCACAGGGTGGTTTGAGTGAGGCTCAGACAAGGTCCACAGAGCTCTGGTTGCAGCTGCCAGTTATAGCAAGAAGCCGGGGATAGCTAACTGGACAGTGGGCAGCAGTGTTTCCCTGCCCATCCACCCTGTCTTCCCATTGAGACTCCTCCTCGTATACTTCTGGTGTGTGGATTGAAGATTTCCTTATCAGGTTTTCCAGGTGCAGCCTGCAGGGCTTTGGGGAAGGGGCCTTTTGAATATTTAGTGATTCCAAGCCAGAAGGGTGGGAGAAAAAAGTTTGGTAGTCGGATATTAGAGAAACCAAAGGATTTGGGATCCAGTGTGGGTCACAGGTGATAAAACCCCAGAAGTAATTGATAGGTCCATGATGTAATGTTGGGTATACCATAGTTTTTTCTGAAATGTAATCTTTCTCCCCACAGTCACCCCCATTTCTGTTAAAGGCAGTAAGATGAATCTGTTCACAAAATAAGTTTCTTCATGTAGTGTGGCCTGATGGTTGCACAAGGTCAGCAGGAATAGTATTGACCGGACAGATACCTGTGACTTACGTACAGAATCTCAGATTGGACTTTAAGGCTTTCCTAGGCTCTAAAGCCAAGCCCAAGATGAACCACCAGTTTTGCCTGCAGTACCCACGGATTTGAGTACAACCCACGGGATTGGCTTCCTCTTCTCAAACTTTGTAAAGTATCTCAAGGTTCCTAGGCATGCCATAAGTAACATCCTTTCTCAGCCTTTTATCCAAGAGACCAGGCCTGTTCTTCCCACCAGGCTTTGTGGGCACCATGACATCAGCCTTAGATCCTTAAAGATAGCCACATCTGAAGTAGGACATTCTGTGTCCTACTTAGTATTGCAACCAGTGTTTCTAGCTGGGTCCTTTGTAAGGATGACACTCCTGCTAGCTTAGTCAAATATCTATTGCCACAAAATAAGAACACTGGCTAATCGTTTGTGAATCCTGGAAGGACCAAGAAAAATATACCTTACCAAATTGCTGTGTGCTCTAGATAATTAAGAAAAAGTGTTTTCTTAAATCAGAAAAACGAAATTATCCTCACCTTTCCTTTCAGTACTGGCTAATTGTTTCTTGTTCTGACGGGACTTGGGATAGCAGAGAGCCACTGAGTTCTTTATTTGAGTCCGGGAAACATCAGTACAGTGGCGATCTTAGGTGAATTCCAGAGCGCTTTTCAGTCTTTCATGACTCTCCTGGAAGAAGTAACTTTGGACTACAGCTGATTGCAAATGCTTTGGTTTCAGAATTAAACATCTGCAAATCATAAAATATTTTTAAAAAACCATGGCTAAGCTCAGAATTATTAGTGATGCAGTTGACAGAAGCTTTTTACTTCTGTGGCTACAACGTTTTAACACAACAGCAAAAAATTATGACTGATAGCATACCAGATACCTAGGAATCTTAGACAATTTCTGCAACTCATATCAATAGCTGTAAATATGACCCAAAGAAGGATATGACCATGCTTCCCGTACAATAGAACACATCAATCTAATTAGTTTGACATCTGTCTTACAAGGCGAGAGATTCTTCTGAAGTAGGGGAACTCTCAGCCAGTTAACGATCAAAAGGAGTTTAGGATTTTTAGATGTTGTCAGACATGTCAGGAAGTTTAAAACACCGGTCTTTATTGACAAAAGGATTTTAAAGGCAAAATTAGAAGGTTGTGTAGTTATGACAAAAACTTGTCCCTTTTAATAGAAAACACTTAAGTAACCAAAGGTGTATCTGCAGACAACATAAGACACAATACTGTGTTTAGACACCAAATCCTTGTTTTGTAGGCCAGTCACCTACAGATAATTTCACAAGGCTAATAGTACATCACTGTACTAATACTGAAGCTAGTTTTTTAAAGAACCTTTTAATAAGTCTTAACTGGTTATGTAAGAGTCCTTTTCCGAAGATCCTTTATGCTTTCTTTTATAAATACCCGTCTGCTTCTCTTGCCACATTTTTCTCATTCTGGAACAACCAGTCATTCTACATTTGCACACAATAATTAACTTCTTTTTTCCCTCAAAAGATCCTTCAAAACTACTTATGACTAAAAAATACATGTGCCTTATACATTTTGCATTCATAGTTGTCTCCCTGTTTTCTAATGGTTTTAATTACATATAGTTGTTAACTCTTGAGTTTCTAAGACACCACGGGTTCTAGTGGAAGTAAGCACCTGAACTCTGTCCACGAGCTCTCCAGTGAGGGGCACCTTTCCTAACTAGAAATCTGCTCTTCCTCATCCCACAACTTCCACTGTTACTAGCAGACCCTATATGTTTACTTCTCATACTGTATGAAAATGGTGCCATGAGTATGTAAAATTATGTTTAGTAACTACTGTTTCAGTATCTTAGAAGTGACCCAGATAGTGATTGAATGTCTGTCACTCCATTTAACTTAGAATAGCTTTTAAGGTTGCAAGTCACCAAAAGGTCTTGGAAGCTTTGTGAGTACGTATCATCCATAAGATACAATTGTGGAGGAGTTTTATCTCACGCCTCCCTGACTGCTGGCAGTGACGCTGAACAGGAACTATGGTGAGGCACTGACAGCTGGTCAGTACCCTAAGTTACTTTTCTTGTGAATGAGGCAGGCAAATACCAAAAAGATAAATACAGTTATTCTCATTCTCTCCAGTACATTATATTTGTGGGTTGGATTTCTAGTTTTATTATCTTAAACATTCAGTAGAATTAACATGAGTTGTTTGACTAAACCCAGGTAGGGAAAAAAAATGTATATGAGGCTGACAATTCTAGAGATGTTCCTGTTTCCATTTTACCAACATTCTTCAAACTATTTTTTACCAAAGATTATTTTGGCTTGATCAGGAGCCAGTGGCTCACACCTGTAATCTAGCTACTTGGGAAGCTGAGCTTGGAACCACCGAAGTTCAGATAGTTTGTGAGACCCCCATCTCCAAGCTAACTAGAGCAGAATGGACTGAAGGTATGGCTCAAGCTGTAGCGTGCCTGCTTTGCGATACAAAACCCTGAGTTCAAACCCTAGTCTCACCAAAAAAAAACAAAACAAAACACTCTATGTTTTTGTATTTCTGGGATTTAGGAATACTGTCATGAGCACCCTTCCATCTTCAGGTCAGTGTGCATAGCACTGTAAGGGGTTTTACATGCTCTGGGAGAACACTGAGCACACAGAACAGTGTGCATACATAAACAGCTGCAAGCACCCTGGGACTCTCATCTTAGGATGTTCAGTCCTGAGCCAGTAAAGCAGCCATGAACTCACTGGTTTACATCCACTTGCATTTTTATCCAAATTGTGTTTCTGGCAAAAAATGAGAGGTTAAGCTTACTCACATGGCTAAAACTTCTGTTTGTGCCAAAGACTTACAAGGTTTTCATTTGCTCAGTTTCCAAATAAAAGTTTTCATCTCAAAGGCACAGAGAAAGCTTGTTCTCATCAGGGTTTGGGGCACATTTGCCTCTCATCAGAGATAGTCATCCAAGGCTATAGACTGTTTCAGGCAAGTGCCTGAGAGGACATCCATCAAGGTCATTTAGCCCATTTCCTTGTCATCTTCTGGGGGCTGCTTTTGGGAGACCCTGAACCCCTCAAGAGTATTGGTGTCAGGAGGGGCAGTCTGGCTGGAGCTTCAGGAAGCCATGGAAGGATTCAAGGAAACTGGAGGAAAGAGGAGGGCATGGGGTGGAAGAGGCCTCCAGAGCCATTCTTGGGGCAACTTAGGCCCAAAGGACAGGGAGAGGATGGACAGAGCTCATGTTCGTTAGGTTTCCAAAAGGGGATTCCTCTAACGGAAGTCCTTGTGAGAGGTCAGATGGGGAGAAGAGCACACACTGTCAGCCTGGACATTTGCTCCCAGTTAATCCAGCTTCTGAGCAGAGAGCTCTAAACACCGAAGTTCCCTCATCAGCTTTCAGCTGCAACAGACAGTAAATATGCCTAGCAGCACTGAAATCCTTTCTTCTTTTTAACCAAAAATACCTTTCTAGCAGCAGAACCAAACCATGTGTGATTTCACGTGTGACTTCATGGACAAAAGAAACTCCTTGAAAAGAGGACAGAAAGGCACACAGGGCCCATGTGTGTTCACAAGCAGCCCTGCAGAGGAGTGACGGGATAGGTGTACCCTGAAAGTGAGGAGCTGGCCAGAATTCAGCAAGGCCTGTTGGTCAGATTTTTCTTGGCATCTGTGTGACAGTCCTTAACCCCAGGGTTAGGGGAAGGTCTTCAGGGTAGAAGGGTGGGAGAATCCAGAGAGTAGACTCCTGGGGTTTGTGGCCTGCATCAGGGAGGAAGTGGGAGGGTCCCTCAGCTTCCACTGTTTCCTGTTTCCAAAGTGCCATGTTTGCCGCTTATCTCCAGCCTCTGTCATCTCAGTAAACTGGAGGATGGTGCACACCCTTGATTGAGGTCCAGGACAGTCACCAGGCCCTTCTCGGCTAAGCCTTACTGCCTCCCAGGAGCTCAGAGCAGGTTCTCATACCTGGTGAAACCTGATAGTTTCTCGCAGAGGGCTTTGAAGCAAGGCCTCTGCTCAGGGTCCCGACTCCAGCAGGAGCGCATCAGCTTGTGCACATTGGGTGGGCACTCCCGGGGGCAAGGCATGCGGTAGCCAGCGTCCACCCTCAGGAAGGCCTCGTGGTTAGACATGCCTGTGGCCGGGAGGACAAGAATTGCTGCAGAGTGGAGGTGTGCCACACCTAGCTATGCAGCTGTCCCAAGAAGCTGTCCCCTGCAGTGGTGACTGCCACTGTGTCCTGTGACCACCACCATGCCCAGGGCATTTTCCAGCACCCTGTGTACAGCTTGTGCTCTCCCCCTGGACAATGACTTCAGGAGGTGATCTCAGGCCCAGGACAGATGCCCCTGGATGCTCAGGGAACACCATGCCACTGGGGAAGCACCTCCCATCATCCCTGACAGCTGCTCGAGACTGCACCTCATCTGCCCACAGTCAGTGACACTAGGGAGCCAGTACCTGTGTAGGGCGTCTGCCCCCTGCTGAAGATCTCAAAAAGCAGAACCCCGAAGGACCAGACGTCAGATTTGATGGAGTAGTGCCCCTGGGAGAGTGCCTCAGGGGCCGTCCACTTGTACGGGATGTTGTGGTCATGGGAAAGATATATGTCCTCCTGCAATCAGGCCAGATGGGCCATGGGGGGCCAAACTGTGCCCTCCCCCTCCTCGGGCAGCTTGGACAGGCACAGGAGCTGAGGTCCACACTGCCCTGACCAGAATCTGACCCACCGCCCTGCTGCCACCAGAGGGAGCTGCTGCTAAAGCGGTGAAACTAGCGGCAGCCCTCCCCCTCCCTCTGCGCCCCCCTCCCCCCAGCTGGGGCTGGAAAAGCATGTCCCATCATATCCACGGCACCTACAGCTGGGCCAGGGTGGCTGTGAGCGAAGCCGTGTTGATGGGGCCACGCCTGCCCTACCAGGAACCTGTCTTGCCCATGGCTGGATTCACAGCTCTAAACCCAGAGGTGAGAAGCCTGCTGCTCCCAGCCTCCATCCTCCAAGGGCCCTACCTTGATGAACCTGGCCAGTCCAAAGTCCCCCACTTTGCATATATTGTTCTCCCCCACAAGGATGTTCCTGGCGGCCAGGTCCCGGTGGATATAATTCTGTGACTCCAAGTAGCACATGCCCTCAGCCACCTGTGACGCAATGTCCACTAGCTCCGAAACAGGCAGGGCTTTCTCATCAGACTCTGCAAGGCAACCAGAGGCCAGGGTCAGCTGAGCCGGCCAGGCCCAAGTCCTCATCTGCGTTGGCATTGCAGCTCTGGCTCCTCCTCCCCGGGGCAAAGGGCAGCAGGCCTGGTTTAAGATCAGAAGACTGGGCCGGCCTAGCCCTTCTGCAATTATGCATCAAGAGCCAAAGAGCAGTTCGTGCACCCACCGCCCAGCAGTTCTTTCTGGGAATCCAAGATAAAGCAATCTGAGTGCAAAGAAATGTGTGTTAGGACATTCACCAAGCTGCTTTTAACCATTGAACACTCCCAAGAGGCTTAGCAACAGGTAAAGGGCAAGATGGCTGAAGTGTATCTGTGCACTGGTGTTGAGACATTTTTTTCTGAAGGATTTACATCCTATGGAAATTACTTTCAACAATCAAGCTTATGTGAAAAATGTAGGCTACAAAATTCCAAGTTTAAGTGTTTCAAATGCTAGTGATATGTAAATACATATATCTCAGCCGGGCGCAGGTGGCTCATGCCTAAATCCTAGCTACTCAGAAGGCAGAAATCAGGAGGATCGCGGTTCGAAGTCAGCCCTGGGCAATAATCTCAAAGAAACCCATCCCCAAAAAAGGGCTAGTGGAGTGACTTTAAGTGGTAAGAACACTTGCCTAGCAAGCGTGAGGCCCTGAGTTCAAACCCCAGTGCCACCAAAAAAATAGAGATATACGTCCATCTCCAGGCACACAGACGTGCACTAAATCCCATTTCTCCTGCACTGCGACATTTCCTCTGAGTCTTATCTGAAACAGGGCAGCATCTCAATTAGCTGGCACAGTTTGTCTTTGATTTTGGTGTTGAAGGAGATGATGAAGTCCCTGAGTGGCTGAGATGTGTGTGGGTGTGACATCCACTGTGCATGCACAGGTTCAGACACCTGAGGGAGGGGCAGCAGGTCCCAGGGAGAGAGAAGCCAGAGGGCCAAGGTGGGTCAATGCTGGGGTCTGGCAGGCAGCATGGGACCGATTAGTAAAGCAGCCTCTGTTAACTGTGGGTGTAGGAATTGTGAGAGGCTTTTCTTGTCTGAACTCAGTTGTATTTTCCCAAGTCTCTATAATGAGAAGATGGTAGATTTGTCATATTTTAAGTCATAAACAAAAAAGCAACAAGCTTGACCAAGAGCTCCCTGGCTGTCTTGCATAGAAAGGGGGAAATCTGCATTTCCATTTGCTTCCTGTTTGCTAGTTTGCATGTTTCCTGTCACCTTTGGTGATCCTCTGTCACTCTTGCCCCTGGGAAAGGGGGACCAAGACCCTGTGCACTCACCCCGCAGCAGCTGCAGCAGGCTCCCCTTGGTCATGAGCTCTGTGATGATGTAGACGGGGTCCCCCACTGACGCCACGGCATACAGTGCCAGGATGTGCTTGTGCCGCAGCTTCTTCATGGCCTGGATCTCTGACTGGAAGGTGTGCTGGTGCAGGAGGTTGTCTGGGGGAACAGCAGCCTTGGTGGGCCACAGCCCCTTACCTAGTCCCAATGAGGAGGCCCTGTCCTCCTGCAGTCGCTCTGAGATATGGATGTCCTAGCAGGATGGGACCCAGGTCCCCAACCATGATACCAAGGCCTCCGCAGCCTGGTCCTCGGCACCCCAGGCCTCGTGTGTGGCATTTGCCCCTCAACATCCCCACCCAGCCCACTCTGCCTGAGCCAGGGCTTCCAGGCCAACACCTCAGGGTCTAGCTACCATGACTCCTAAGGTGTGGGGTACAGACCTGAGAGGCCCCCGGGTTTCAGGTGAACTTTTCAGATTTCCAGTGATTTATTTATTTTAATGATGATTTATTTTATTTTAAATCCTTAAGGTTTAAAATTCCTTCTCACAATAAATGCATGTAGGTAAAAACATGGGTGCAGATGAAAGAGATGACGCCCCCCGCAATGATGCTATGGGTGCCCAGTAGTACTGTTGGGCTCCACCCCTGGTGGGGTGAGGCCAGAAGTACCTGTTGTAGGGACTGGTAGGAAAAGGGCATAAGGTCAAGTGGAACCCCCTACCTGGGCCTACTCACCTCGAGAAATCACCTTGATGGCCACCCGGACCTGGTCTTTCCAGAGCCCCTCAAAGACCTCTCCGAAGTAGCCGGCCCCCAGCTTCTTGCAGAGCGTGAACTCCTCCCGAGGCCTCTCCCAGTCTGCCCAGTGGGGCAGTGGCTCCGACTCATGCTGGAGGAACAGGATGCTGGCTGTGTTGCCTGCTCGCTCTCAGAAAGGGTCAGCTCTGGACCTGAACTAAGTGGCTCTCATGACCCTGTGACTAAGTGACTCATGGCCCTGTCTAGCCTGGTGAGGTCTGAGTGCACTGCACAAAAATGCCATCATCCCACTCACCAGAGCCTGTGGCCCCACTCCAGCTGTCAGCCCCTGTGCGGGTGACCCTCCCCTCTGGCTGTTGGGTCCCCAGGCTTCCCGGAACAGGACTCTACAGTAGCACAAGTGACCTCCAGTGAGTCAGTGTGAGAATGTCCAGGCAAAGGGGACGTCTCTGGCCACTCCACCCGTGCTCTGCAGAACCTCAGCTTCTACTCCACCCTGGCTGCTCCTGAGTGACCACGTCATGAAGGGGCAGGTAGCCCTACCTTCCAGCAGGGCACTGTCAGCCGCAGACCGTGAGACAGGCTCTGGGCCTTGTGATAGTCCACAAGCTCGGACAGACTGGAGAAGGACACGGTCTCATTCAGATGCAGCCGGCCCCCCGCATGCCGCCGGATCCTGTAGTGCCGAACAGCCTGAGCATCCCGCACTGGGGGCGGGGCAGGTGGAGGGGCTGTGAGCAGGCACCCTGGCCTGCATGTGCCCCCAGCCCCACCTGACACGTGGCCCGGCAGGCCTGGGTCCACTGTGGGCTGGTGGGCTTTGCCCACCCTCCTCGGGGCCCTGTTCCTGCGCCCACCCAAGGCTGATCTTCCCAGCCTCTGTCTGGACAATAGCTGCCTGCATTCCAGCCATCTAGATTGTGGAGTGACAGGAGCTTCTCTCCCTCCTGTACGCCTTAGGTGCAAGGTTACACACAGGGACACCTGCAGGGTCAGTGCTTCCCACGACACATGGCCATAGGCCCGCCAGCAAGAGAGGATTAGGAAATCTCTATTCTGCTTGCTGCCAACAGAGAGCTAGATCCGGGCAAGGCTTCACCTTTGTGGAGGGAGTCAGGGCTCCTATGTGGCCACCAGGTGGTCAGGAAGGCCTAGAGATGAGGAGTCCAGCAAAGGTGTGCACAGGCGGAGGAGGGCAGGGACTGGTACCTGAGAGGACATAGTCAGCACCCGCCTTCTCGCTGACCCTGATCAGGAAGGTGCCGGTCAAGCTGCCCTCAGCCTGCAGTCGGTGCATAGCTTCTGAGCGGGAGATACGGCCAAAGAACCACCTGTCGGGGCAGGGCATGGTCTGAGCCCGACTGACCCCAAACCCAGCCCTACATTCACTCTGGACCTTCAGCCAACCTGCACCCTGCCCACTTGGAGTACCAGCCACCCTTGGCTATTGCCTCATGTTTCCAGCCCCCCACAGAGACCACTTTACCCATCGTGGACCCTGAGGTCTCAAATGGCTGGTTCTGGACACCAGGTCCTACTGACACAGAAGGGGCAGACACTGACCACCTCTTGTCTTAGATGACCCCTATCAGTGGATCAGGGCCCCCAGAAGGCCTGCTGTCCCTCACATGAATGCCCAGCCTCAACCTCTCTGTGGGAGCAGAACCACAGACACCTGCCCTGGTCTGGGGCAGCTTGGAGAAGGGCAGTGAGCTCCTGGTGCTGCTACCCCATTTGGAATCTCACATAGCCACTCACACATGCATAGATGCGCGGGTATGTGTACACAAATGTACACTTGCGGTGCACTGACTTGCACACACGTGTGCACTCATACAAACTCATGCCCAGACGTGTATACACTTGATCTGCATGCTCACACAAGGGTGGACACGTGTAGATGTGAGTGCACACTTGTATACATGCACTGACAGTTGCACAGATGCACACACGCTCTCACCTCACAAATATTTGCACACACTGGCTCCCGACACCATGATGGATATGCCTGGACTGTGAACTATAGGGTGGGGCCTGTGGGTTCCCCAGACAACCTCTGCCCTGCCCTTTTGTGTGCTCCACCCACCTGTGTGGTCCCCATCCAGCCCACCTCTGACACGGTCCCATTTACAGTTCCATGGGCTTATGATCCTCTGGTATGCGTGGGTTCTCCACACGGGTGATAAGAACAGAGTTGGGGGTCTCAGGAGCAAAGCAGCAGGGGGCCCTCACTGGGCCCTCCCCAACCCTAGTTCAGAGCCGTCTCAGACGCTGGAGCTCTCAGGTGGCTGTGGACATGTACTTCCTGAGGCTCCTGGGCATCCTGCCGTGTGGAGGGTCAGGGATGGCAGGTGGGGTGCCAGGAGAGGAGGGGACACCCCACTGCAGTGCCCCTCCCGCACCCATGATGGGCGACAGGTGTGTCACAGCAGCCTTCCTGCTCCCTTAACTAGGTCGCACATCTGGTTCTGGCTGTTTGGAGAGTAAGGGAACTTCATGCCCCCAAAGGCCCTTGGCCTCTCACACAGGCCTTGTCGCTGGGGGCCAGTCCCCGAAAGCCCACCCTGGACCCTTCTATCCTCGCTAGGTTCCAGTAGAGCAGTTCCCACAATTGAGCAGTGGCCATGGGCAGGGTCAAAGAAGAGGACCCATACCCAGATGACCGGCAGCAATGTGGCCCAGTCAGCACACCTGTGTACCAGGATGGTGAGGACCAGGGATGGGACTTAGTCAGATGTCCAGCCTTGACTGTGCAGCCATGGTCCCACACCCTCTTGACCTCCCCAAACCTGTCCAATGTCTTACCCACCCCCTGTGCCCAGGCAGCCACCCTATTGTAGCCACTGTTGCCAGCCCTCCATGGCTCATGGTCACTCACGGCTCAGACTCCACGGTCTCCTTCTCCGCCAGGTAGTTTTGGGGTACATAGCCCTCAGCCAAGGCACCACCTGCTTCATCCAGCAGGGTGGCCCACCACCACTGCTCCTCCTTCCTGGCCACATGGAAGAGATCTCCTGCCCGGAAGCTCAGCTCCTCATCTGTTCGGGCCTCAAAGTCCCAAAGGCCCACGTACTTGGGGCCCAGGTGGATCTGGTTCCGGGACACCATAGCAGGCACACTGGTAGGACAAGCTGTGAGCTGGCTGTGGACACCTGTATCAGGGAGGGGCAGGCAGGGCCGCCTCCTACAGACCAGCCCAACCTACTTCCTCATGACAGGCAAGAGGCCAACCACACCCAGTGCCCAGAGAGGTGGCCTGTCCTGGTAACACCCTAAGGAACCTACTGTCCCCCGCCCAAGTGTCCTCATGACTTCCAGGGCCAGGCCAGGCTGGGTGCCCACATGTATCTACAGTGGAAGCCTACCAGCTAAGCAACCATGTGTCTGGACCTGAGCAAAGAAGCTGTGGGCAGGTCTTTGGAGGGGGCATGGAGCAGAGGAGGGTTCAGGGTGCCCACTCTTTTGTACCGGAAGGTTTCCTGTACTTGCTGGGTGCCTCTCCCAACTTAGGAAGCCATCTCACCCACTCTGACCAATGACAGAAGCTGTGATGGGTGTAGCAGTCCTGAGGACGGCCTCCCTGGGCAGATATCCACCAGCCAGATGCTGGCAAGACCCACCCTGGAGAGCAGGGGTTGCCTGAGTTGCGTATGAAGACAAAGCTGGTGGGGTGGGAGGCAGAGGGGGGTCTGAGGGGAGACCTGTGGACCAAAGTGGCACACCTGGGCCTGGACTTCTGCCTCTGCCAGTAGGGTTGCCACAACTCTGCTCCCCCAATGTGAGGACACTCAAAAACCCACCTGCTCTTAGAGGAGCGACAGCCCCCAGCACCTCCTGCTGGTCCAGATCTGGGCAGCTAGGAAGTCCAACAGGAGACCTGGGACATGAGGAGTCAGGGCAGCCACAGAGGTGCGGATGGACCTGGAGGGCTTTCTGGAATAAGAGGGTACCCATGGAAACATCTGCAGCCCACAAGCTCCAACAAGGACACAAGAGGGCGTCCAAAGACGGTGAGCAAAGACCTAGAAGCACCCACATCGCCAGGGCCCCCACAACCCCGTCACACTCCTCCCTCCCTCCTGGGCAACCACTTGTGCCCTGCCTGGCCCTGCCCCTTCCCCCATTCCTAGCAGCCCAGCTGTGGCCTTCCCCCACACGGTAAACCCAAAACTCCAACAAAACTCCAACTCAACTTGAAACTCAGAACTTGAAGAACTAAGTCTACTCTTGTTCCCCAGGTGGCCCCCTGACCACCTCCCTCCCCTTGCAGATGCTACTGAGTACCCACAGGTGTACTTCTACCTGGAGTCTGGAGGACAGCCCCGTGTGGGGGAGGCGGCTGGGAAGGGGAGATTGCCAAGTCTAAAAGGATGAGTGGCCAGGGAAAATTGCATAGTAAATCCCATTCATTTGAACTCCTCCCCCTGCTTTTTTGTTTCTTTCAGTGGGGATCTAACTCAGGCCTCATGTATGCTAAGTAAATGCTCTACCACTGAGCTACAGCTCCCACCCTGAATTTCTTTTTAACTGAAAAGAGAAATCATGGTGCCATCCACCTACTTCATTTTGAGGTTAAGAATAGGAATATAAGGCACTGGTGGCTCACACCTGTAATTCTAGCTACTTGGGAGGCTGAGATCAGGAGGATCATGGTTCCAGGGCAGCCTGGGCAAAAAAAGTGAGAACCTATCTCCAAAATAACCAGAGCAAAAAGTGTGGCTCAAGTGATAGAGCACCTGTTTAGCAAGCACAGAGACCTGAGTTCAAACCCCAGTACTGTCAAAAATGGAACATGAGCTAGGTTTACAGTGTTCTGGTGTGGGAAAGGGCAGAAGAGGATAGAGGTCAGAGGAGGGACTAGCTGGGGAACAAGGACAGAGGTCAGAAGGGCGTGAAGAGAGGGACCTCAAAGTGAATCACCACCAAGCATTGGACAGGTCAGCAGCAGTCAGGCCCAGGAGGTCCAAGGACCTGCTCTGCTCCAAGGCCCTCAGGCCTTGGGCCACTGGCCCACAAGGTGTCCCTGGGTGCAGACATGTGGGTGGAGGAAACTCCCCAACCCCTCCCAGAGACCCAGGAGGGGCAAACCTGCTCAGCGGTGGCTGACAAGACACCCAGGAATGTGCTGGGGCCCAGACAAACCTGCTTCCACAGCCCGGCTACCTGCAAAAGTTCCAATCCCGTCACATTCCTTCCCTCCAGGCCCTGTGCCTTCCGCTCCAGACTCACTGCAGGCTCCCCAGTCCCAGGGAAGGTCTTGGGCCCACACTGCTGCTCAGCATGCTGGGGAAGCACCGGGACAGGTCCAGCTCCACAGCTGGGCTCAAGACTTCCCGTTTCAGCCCTTCCTCTCCCCTCCCGGGGTGGAGCAGAAGGTCAGAGCTACAGGCTGAGGCAGAGGCGTGGCCCAGCTGGCCAAGGAGGCCCACAAGGCTCAGCCCAACCCCACTGCCCCCACTATCCACAGGGTCAGTGCCAGCCCCCCTCCCTACCGCCATGCTCCCTTCTAGAACCACCCTCTCCCCAGCCATAGCCAGATTGATCTGGGTTCCCAGAGTAGCCAGTGTCCACTGCTTCCGCTGTGGGTGCTGCCCTTGCCCTTGGCTCCTCTTGCCCACCCCATCTCCCTCTGGGAATCTCCTGATCTTGCCAGACCCATAGCCTCTGCTTTACCTGAGTGGAGTCTCTCTCTTCTGGTGGGACTGGAGTTTGAACTCAGAGCTTTGCGCTTGCAAAGCAAGTGCTCTACCACTTGACCCATACCTCCAGCCCACTTTGCTCCAGTTATTTTGGAGATGAGGGTCTCATGAACTATTTGTGGGGCTGGCCTCAGATTGTGATCCTCCAGATCTCAGCCTTCCAAGTAGCTAGGATTACAGGTGTGAGCCACCAGCGCCCAGATCTGAGGGGTGTCTTTGCATACAGGAGTCCAGTTCCCAGTTCCCTCCTGTGCCAGCCCGAGTGGGGCCTGTAGTCAGTGATTATCAGCAAATTGGCCTCCGTGGGTACAAAGCTGACTCTGAACTCTGTCCCCTCCAGGGGACAATGAGCTGAGTCAGTCTTCCTGCTCCATGACCTTCTGGGTATTGCTGCCAGGAAAGTAGGCATGGAGCTTTGGAGGACCTGACCAAAGGCCTCCCTCCTCAGCCTCCATGTGCCACCCCTGAGCCTTCCAGTGTGCAGTGATCCTGGGCCCAATTCTCAAGGAGTTACACCCAAAATGCAAATGTGGCCCACTTGGGACTTTTCTCCAGAGAGCTGCCAGCACACCCCGGTATCCACCTTTTACCCTGCCCAACCCTGCCAGCCAGGAGACTCAGCACTGACCACTGCCCACCCTGAAAACCAATCTCCACTGCAGGGTCCCACTCCTGGAAAAGGCCTCAAAGCACTTCTTACCAGCCTCTGAGTTCAATCCCAGCCTGGCACCAGGGTGGGGTGTGTGGGAAGGGCTGTTCACACAACTGCAGCCTCCACCAGCTCCCACCAAACACCCCTGTGGCCCATAGTCTGACAGTGCCATTCTGGGCACCATGATGCCTTGGGGTGGGATCCAGCTCCCTCTCCCACCTTTGGTAGCTGGGTGGACCCCCCATCAGCTCCAGCACCCCGTTCTGAGTTGGGGAAGCTAGTGTGTGATGTATCTGGGCACACACTGTCCTTAAGTTCAGACACATTTATTGACTGCTTGCCCATGCATGCCCAGGTTTGCTAGTCCCAGGTTGATGGCGATGTCCCCTTAATGTGCACAGCCTGTGCTAGTAGGGTCTGCTCTGCTTGGGAGCCCTGCCAAACTCACAGTGGGGCTTGGGGGAAAATCGGGCTTCTCATCCTTGACCCTGGGAGAGAGCCCAGGAGGCCCAGGATGAGGCTAGTGCAAGAAGGGAGCTGCTGGCTGCAGCTGGAGCATCTCTGCCCAGAGGCCTTACTTCTATGCCTTTCTGGAGACATCAGAGACCCAGGCCATGCTGGGCAGAGGACATCAACCCCTTCTGCCATCTGAGTGGGTGGTGGTAGCCAGGCATCAGCCGCATATGTCCACTTGTTGAGCTCACGGGAGTGTATGCCACCCTGTGTCACAGCCAAGTGCCTGGCTGGTGCAGTTCCCAGCTGTGTGGCATCTCTGGAATGTGCTGGTGACAAGGGTTGTCCTGGCAGATACCCTGCAGGTAGCAGTGGCCCCAGACGCTGTCCATGGGCCTGGAGCCCTGGTCATGTGAGGCCCAGGTGGAGACGCCTGTGGATGACTCCTAGCTTCTCCCGCAGCGTAGCGAAGGTGGGCCGCTCCTCTGGGCTGCCCTTCCAGCAATCCAACATGAGCATGTAGACCTCTGCGGGGCAAGCAGCGGGGCGCGGCAGCCGGTACCCCCGGCTGATCTGCTGTAGGGTCTCGTGGTTGCTCATCCCTGGCAAGGGGGCCGCGAGGGGCCCGGCAAGAGCTGCCTTGATTCTGCCTGGGGTCACTCTGAAGACCTCCCCAGCCCCAGTCTGCCCTTCATGCGGCCTGGGGTTCCCTCGGGGTCAGCAACTCCCAAGCAGGATTGTGCCTCCTCCTCCAGGCTGTACCCTAGGCTTCCTCCCTCCAGACTAACTTTTCCAGACCAGGCTTTGTCTCATCTCGGGTGGCTCACCTTCGTAGGGACACTGACCATACGCAAAGACCTCGTACAGCAGGATGCCGAAGGACCAGACATCCGACTTCTGGGAGAAGATACGGTAATTGGCTGCCTCAGGTGCCGTCCACTTCACGGGGATCTTGGAGCCACTGCTCGGGGAGTAGACATCATCCTAGGGTGAGGGGAGGTGACAGTGGGGCAGATGGATCTGTGCTCTTCCCTCATGAGGGCTCAGGAGTCCAGAGTCCTACACACCTTGAGCAGCCGGGCGAGACCGAAGTCAGCCACCTTGCAGGTGAGGTCATCACCCACAAGCACATTCCTGGCAGCCAGGTCCCGGTGGACCACACGCCGCTCCTCCAGGTAGCTCATGCCCTCAGCCACCTGGCAGGCGAAGCCCAGCAGGAGAGGTGGGCTCAGGGCCTGGCCCTCAGGGCCTGCAGGGAGAGGACTCAGAGGCCAAGGCACGGAGGGTGGGCCTCATGGGGGTATTGGTCCCTGCACACGGCCCTTTGTGTCACACACCCCATCTCTAAAAGGAGTGAGGTAGCACCCCCAACCGAGACCAGTGGGCAGAATGTGAGACAGGAAGAGGGGGTCTTACACCCACCATGTGTTCCTCTGAGCAAGCTGCTTCTCGGCTACTGGACTGGGCCCCAAGGGACACTGGGGGCAGAAGACACCAGAGGCGGACAGCACCTGGGGCTGGGCTGAGTCCATGGTCACATTACAGAGGCTGGTGATCTAAATGGACCACCCTCCTGCCTGGACTCCAGCCCCAGCCCCAGATCCACTAGGCCCAGATTCCACTAGGCCTGGTCAAGATGCTGTGCTGGTCACAGGCCGATTAGGGCCAGGTATCTGCAGCCTAAGCCACGTGCATCCCATGGAAAGGCCTGATTCAATATCCAAGGTCCAAGAGTTCACCTCTGAGTACTGAGTGGGTGGGCGCTGTCCCTATGGGCTAAGAGGGACACCTTCAGCCAGTGTCCCTATGAAGGTAAACTACCTGAGAGAATACAAAGCCTCATCCAGGGAACTTTAGTTTGAGTGTGGAAGCCCGGGCTCCAGCCTGAGGGAGGAGGCACACCTGCCCTGGAAGTTGCTGATGGGAAGGGGCACCATGTCCTCTGGGGGGTGGAGGGCCTGTGTGACTGCTGCGGGGCGGTGGGGTGGGGGGTACTCACTGCCCAGGTAGGCCTGCAGGTTGCCCTTGCCCATGAGCTCAGTAACAATGTACACAGGCTCCCCGGAGGAGCACACTGCGTGCAGCCGGATGAGTCTCTCGTGCCTCAGGCTCTTCAGTGCCTCTATCTCCTTGGCAAGGTCGGCCAGCTTCATGTCGGCTGCGGGGAGAGGACACTGCTCCAGGACCACCCACGCCACCTGCCCCCAGGCTCCTGGTTGCAGGAACCAGGGTCCTGGTTGCAGGAGTGGAGCAGGCAGGGCCTCACCTGACTTGATGACCTTGACTGCAACGGGAATGGAGCCCAGCCATAGACCTTCCCACACCTCCCCGAAGTAGCCTTCACCCAGCTTCCTCCGAAGGGCAAATTCGGAGCGTGGTCGCTCCCACTCGTCCTGTGCTGGGAGCTTCTGTGGAAAGGGACACTCAGTGCTCAGCCTGCTGCTCCCCTGGCAGAGGAGTCAGGAAGACTGGGCAGGGTGGGCTGCCAGCAGGGCGTCAATCTCATCCCCAGCACACACAGCACACACATGCTCTGGACCCAGACTGGGCCACAGGGGAGACCATGTTGATCTCCCGGAGACCTGGCCCACAGCCCAGAAGTGAATTGCTTTGGGGGCCTAAGTGGCACCTTTACAGGAGCCGGACATCCGTCTACAAACACTCATTACTACCCCGGGCCGGCTGTCATTAGGAGACCAGAGAAACCAGATTGCTGCCCTGGCCCCCGCCGCACACTTGCCTGGGACAGCCCCAGAAACAGCAGTTTCGGAGATTAGCGTGCCTCCCACAGCTTCTGCCCGGGGGGGCTGGGGCAGCTGTGGGTGCCTCCTCCAGACTGAAACTCCTGCTCCCATGCAGAGAAGGATGAGTTTGACAGCCCCCCGGGACCCCCGCCATCCTCCCTCCACCAGCCTCAAAGGGAAGCAGAACTCATGCAGGGAATGGAACCATCCAGAGGCATAAGAACCTCTGGGACAGGGTCCTGGGGTACCCCGAAAGTGGGGCGCATCTCAGGCCCACCTGGGATGCACAGGGCTGCAACAGGGGAGTTTGGATTAGCTTCCAGTTGGCCTTGTAGTAAGTGAGCAGGGCCTCTAGGTTGGGGAAGAGCCGGCCCTCCTGCAAGTAGAGGCTGCCGCTGGGTGCAGTGCAGATGCGATAGTGGCAGACTTTGGCCTGGGTTCGGACTGGGGGACAGAGACGGACACCAGTACCTCAGCTATGCCTCCCCAGGCACTCCCACTCCAATCTCCCAAGTGGCCTGGCTCAGACTGGTTTTGGGGTCCCTAAGGCGGCCAGCAGCATATGCAAGAGGGGGCACAGACAAGAGGGCAGCGAGTGGGCCCTGGGGACACAGAGTAAGTGATTAATAGATTCTTGTCGAAGAGTGAATCTACAAGTGAGTGAGTGAATGGAGGAAGTGAAAGGAAGAAAGGCAGAGAGGGAAGGAGGAAGAGATGAAGGATGAAAAGGGCAGGCGCACAGGATGACAGGTGTGTCTGTTGGGAATGAATAAGGGGCTGGCAGTCTGGAACCAACCACTCCAAGGTCAAGGGCATCTGAACTGGTGGGGCTGGACAAAGTGCTCTCCTGGGAGAGACAAGTCTTCTGCTGCCCCAGTACCTGACAGTGAGTAGCCGCCAAGGCTGCTCTCACTGGGCCGGATGAGGAAGGCCCCTGGGGCATTGGCAGGAGACAGGAGCAGCTGCTGGGCCTGGATTCTGCTGATCCCACTGAAGTACCAACTGGAAAGGGAAGGCACCAGTGGTCACCTCACAGGTCCAGCCCTGTGTGACCCCAGCCAGGCTTTGGGCCTTGGCTGTCCTATCATCTCTTAGGGAGAAGGATACCCAGTGCCTGATGCTGGGCTCTCAGCCCAGGCTCCAGCCCCTTGCTGGGCTCTCAGGGCTCCGCCAGGGCTGGCACAGTGGAACATCAAGTGACTCAAATACTGTTCCCTGCAGGTGACAGTATGCACTCACCAAGGCCATGTGCTCTCAGTTGGCTGTGCTACAAATGACCTTCAGTTCCCTGCTCAGAAAGGGACCATCAGCCCCAGTCATAGGCTAACAATTGGTCTTGGTCACAGGCTGAACCCACCAAACTTGAAACTTTGCTGAGCCCCTGTGTGGAGAGTTCACAGGGAGCCAAGGTCTGCAACAAGCTGCCCTGCTGGGAGAACCATGGGTGTCACCTGTCTGGGCGATTGGCTAGATAAGCCCCCAGAAGAGGCAGCTTGAGCCAGACTGGACACAAGGTCAGGAGAGGTAATGGGGGAGGAGGTGCTGGGGGAGGGCTTAAGGCTTCTTGCCCCCCTTTGAAGGACCATGCCCAATGCAAGCTGGCCTCAAGTTCCTGCACTGACCAGAGATGTCCCTCCTAACCTGGGTGCACAAGAGGCCATAGTGAGTACCGCAGAGCACGGAGCTCCAGAAGCCCACTCCTAAGATCCTCAGACATGAGTCCACATGCCTAAGCATTGGCCTGGTCTTCTAGGTCCCCCCATCCAAGTGGGCCACCTACCTATGTTACACCATTCCTTCCTGGGAGACTGAGACATCCTGAGGAGGAAGACAGTCACTCCCAGCCCCACCCCTTTGTGTGTCTCTGCTCCCCAAGGCCCAGGCGGGTCGCACAGCTGGTTCAGCTTTTCACTGGCACCTCCCATTTCCGGGACCTTCCAGGGACCTAGCAGGCTGGGGCTTGCCACCTCCATACTGGGGACCACAACCTTGCGAGCACAGCTGCTCATCCACGCAGGTTGTGAGGGAGGTGTACAATGAGCCAGCATGGGAGTTGAGTCAGTCAGGAAAAAGGATCAGGAGGGCTCTTGGAGGACATTCATAATGACACACAAAAGCAGACAGATTCTTATGTGCCTCCATCCCAGGGAGCCACAGGGGAAGATACTGGCACAGCCAAGGCAAGGGGCAGGGCGGGTTAGAGGGATGGTCACAGCTAGAGACAGGGAGAGGCAAGGGGACAGCAGGCAGGCTGAGGCCTGAGAAACAGGAGGCACTGTCAGCAGGCAGGCTAGATGAACAGGAGGGAGCACCAAGACATGGCTATCGCCTGGGCTGAGTCACCTGGTGGACACAGGTCACTCTGAGACCTGTCTGGGAAATAGGCTCAGAGAGGCCGCAAACTCATTTGAGGGGTGGGAGGCATGGCCTCATGGGCTGCCCAGCCTTCTACTGAGTACCTCCTGCAGTTGGAGTCCCTGCCTCCTAGAATCTGCTGGCAGGGACCCTTGGGCCTCTAGGATCTCCTCAAAGGACAGCAGGACTCTCTGTGTGGGCAGGGGGGTATGTTCTCCAACACACCCTAGCCTTCCCTGAAGCCCCATGTCAAGTCCTCTGCAGAAGGTGATGTGGGCCTTTGTGCACACCCTGAGTGGGGAAGATGTGCCTTGGGGTCTCTCCTGGAGCATGGGGCCAGGTGTCTGGGACTAATGACATTGTGAGTGTGGTCAGCCCTTTCATCTCCAGGCCAAAGCAGTCATTAGCTCTCCCACGAGCAGCCCTGCCCCCTAGGAGCCCTGCCTGCCATGCCTGAAGCCTCCAGGAGCTGCTCACAGGTCTGTCTCCCACACCCCCATCAGAACAGCTGCTCAGCTCTTGTTGAGAGCCAGCCTGGAAAACCTGGGGCATGCAAAGGCCTGTGGCTCCAGCTTCACCCACCACATGAAAAACGTCCCAGGGGTCTGTGACTATTGAAGGGCCCCCAGGAGGCTGGGACCCTAGGCTGGTTTGCAAAGGCAGGCCCAGGGCTCAGGACAGCCCGGCCAGGCACAAGAGCAGCAGTCTGCAGGCAGCCACATCTCCCCGTCAGCTCCCAGCCTATTCCTGCCCAGTGACCCTGCTGAATGACCTTCCAAGCATGCTGCTGCTGAAGTTAGGGCTAGGGCTAGGGCTAGGGTTAGGGTCCCCAGGGCAGGACTTGCCCCACCTTGACACTGGGGATTGCAATAACCATGAGATCTAGACTGACCAGCTTCAGGATTTGGGTCAACTGCTGAGGTCACTGCCCTGTGTCCATTGCACAGCAGGGCCCTGCTTGGAACCAACACACAGGAATGCTTGACCCTTCAGACCCTCGGCTTCTCCAGTGACCCACCCAAGAGAGAACTCAGTCAGATGACAGACCGTTGTGCAAACAATCAAGCATCCATCCTGATTACTCACTGTGGTGGACCGCCCCAGCCCTGGGGACCCCAGGTGCTCTGGAAGGAATGGATGGGCTTTCCTCCCCCGCACCCACTCCCCCAAACAAGCCAGAGCCACATTTGCCCAACACCTGGGCCCAGCCTGGGGTGGTTGGATGAGCGTGGACAGATGAGAGGGGCAGGTAAACACATGGCTCTGACATGGCTTAACGCCCCTCACAGCACCAGAGGCCCCTTCGTGGCTTCTCAAGCAGCATGATACACATCTCACCTGCAGGTGCATCCCAGACACCAGCCCCTGCTTGCATACAGTGAACCCTAACAAATCCCTGTGTGAAGGCAGAGTCCTAGAGTGGCTGCCATGCTGGGTGCTCTGCTTTTCTAGCCACTTACCCTTGGCCCCCTGGCTCCTGCATTCCCCTGGGCTCCTGCATTCTGCTGTCACACCTGTCTGTTCAGCCTGGTGCCAGCAGGTACTGCGTAAGTTGGCACTGCAGCTCCCACTCAAAACCCGGCCTGATTCCACTCCCCAGCCCAGCAGGCTCCCAGACCCAGGTACTCACGGCTGGTCTGAGTGTGTCTCAGGGTTGGCTTTGGCGACGTAGTTGATGGGCACCAGCCCGGTGCTGGGGGGACCCGAGAGCCTTCGGGCGAAGATGTAGTCGCCCTCCTCCTTGAGGGCGTAGAGCCTGTCCCCGCGGCTGACGCTCAGCTCCTCCGCGCAGCGCGCCGTGAAGTCGTAGAGCGCGCGGAAGAGCTGGGCGCGCGGCGCGGGGACATTGCGGGTCTCCGCGGCAGCGGGGAGCTCCGGCTCGGTGTCGGGGCCCGGGAGCTCAGGGATGCTGTCCTCCGTCTCAGCCGCCGGCCAGATCTTATCCCAGAAGAAGGACAGGAAGGTTAGCCGCTTGCGCAGGAAGGGCTCCATTCCGGGAGGCGTCGGGCCGGACAGCCGACGGGGGCGCACGGGCCCCGCGCCGGGTCAGCACGCTGGGCCGACGGCCCCTCGGAGGTGGAGGAGGCCGAGCACAGCCGCCATGGGCCGGGAGCCGAGCGCGCCAGGCAGAAACTGGATGGGCCGGTGGGACAGCCAGGAGCCAAAGCGAGCTGCGTCCCTACTTAGCACACGTGGAGTGACAGGCGGCACTGACCCCTCGATCACTCCAGAGGGCCCTTCAGCAAGGCACACAGCTCTCGCCTGTTTCCCGGGCTGGTGCTCATACTAGTGGGGCAGAGGGCGACACCCTGGGCTACACAGGCATCTCCTCCTGTGCTCCACGACCACTGTGATATCTCCTCTCTCTCCAGAGCCCCTGCTCTCCTGAGAGCAGCTGGGGGCAGGGCTGGGACAGTGTTAGCATCCATGGGAACCAAAGACCTGGGTGGCGCCTGGGCGGGGAGGGGCGGGGCCTCTCTCCCTCCACTCCCAGGCCCAGGCTGGAGGGGCTGGCTCTGCCCTGCTGGTCTGGGCTAGTGCAACCCGAGAAAGGCCGAGGCCAAAGCCCTTGGCCAGACAGTGGGGTCCATGGAGAAGGCAGCTGCTACTCAGTGTTAATGAGCCGGATTTGTATGAAAATCTGCTTGGCTATTTAAATGTTCACCAAATTTTTTAATGTCGTAAAAGGCCTGTGTGTGCCATACACAGATGTGAGCAATCTGTCTAACCTAGTCATGGCCTCAGCACCCTGGTTCTCCAGACGTTGGTGGTGATTGCAGGGGCTCAGTGGAGGGCCAGATGCACAGGAGCACTGGACAGACACAGGAGTGATGATGGGCTGTGACTTCTGGGCCACCCCATGGCCAGGAGACTGACAAAGCCACTGCAGGGAAGAGGAGGCTCAGAGGATCTGGGCCGCAACTTGGGATATGAACTAGCTGGTCGGCACGCAGGGACAGGCCAGCAGGCATGTTTCAGACAGACTTGCACCTCAACCTGCATCCCGTTCCTGCACACCGAAGCAAACGGTCTGCTGCCCGGGGAATGTGAATAGGGGGGTGTAGAGAAGCAAGCCTTAGCCAACTCAGCTCTTGAGCACGGTCCTGGGGCAGAGTCTGGGCCAGGGTCTCACCTGCAGGCTCTTTTTCCCCTTGCTGGCATCTCACCAATCAGTGCCTTTCGCACCTGAGTGGTCTTTAGTGAGCCTTTCAACCTGTTCTACAATTACTGCAGACCATTTCCTCCACAGCTTAGACTTCTTCAATACACGAACTTCACATTTTGTGTTCCGCTGAACATCAAATGGGGTGACAGCTGTCCAGCCAATGAAAGTCCCTTGCCCCCTACCTGCACTAGCGCAGCAGCAGGTGGACGTCTCTCTGAAATGCATCAGGGGCAGTTTTTGAGTTGTGATGGAGCAATAATACCAATGAGCTCTCTGGCTCAGGGTTTGAGCAGCCCCTCGGGGGCAGGAACCCTGAGAGGCACAGACTCTGTGCCATGGGGACTTATGCTGTTGTGGTGTGATGTCCACGAAAAGTTAATTACAAACACAGAACTGGGGGAAGCACTGAAGCTCACACCCACCGGCTTTGCAGGGAATTTGCCACCACCTGCCACGCCATATGCAAGTTGTAGTTTTGCACATCATTCTCCTTAAGTCCTCCATATCCATGCTGTACCTCCCCTGGAAGGACACCCAGCTTCTTGTCTCCAGTGCTCCAGCCATAGGGAAGCTTCCTCTGGCCATGGGAGGATCCCTTCTGTGCTGACCACAGTGGGGTCAGGCATTCAGGGCACTGAATGCAGATTCCTCCTGGATACTCCCTTTGTCTTGAAGCTACTGAGTCCTGGCCTCTGGGACTCAGCACATTCCTTTGTAGCTGGAACCCAAAGGCAGACCTTGCCCAGGGGAAGAGAGGATGACTTTGCTTATTCCTTTGCCCAGCCCCCAAACCTGGTCCCCAAACCTCTTGTCAGCTCAAGGAAATGCCCAAAGAAACAGGGGCACAGCACGATGGGCCACCCACCCTCCCACTGCCAAAAGAACTCCAGGGTAGAAGGAGTCCTTCCTCCTTCAAGGAAATCTAGCTCTGTCCATCCCTCCCTGAGATCAGAGCAGGAGGGAAACCTGAGCTGGGCAGTGGGATCCATACCCAAAGAATAGTCATCCATCTCCTGTGACGGGGACAGAGGGTCTGAGTCTCTAGGAATTCCCTCCATAGGGTCAGAGGCCTAGAGAGTCTTAGGGACCAGGCCAGAGAGTTCCTGGGCAAGCTGGCCCTTCCACAACTCTCCAGTCCAGATGGCTCTGTAGGGAGTAACCCCCCACATTACCACTTCAACCCTGTACCTCACATCTTGCACTCCACTCTGAACCTGTATACCAGGCTGCACCCCCACACCTTATACACTGACCTGACCCTGTACCCCACATCTTGCACCTACCTGATCCTGACCCAAGCCCCTTCCTAAGCCCCAACTGCATAGATTCTCAGGCCCACATTCTCCATCAGGGAGTCCCTTGGCCTGGGTGTGCACCCCTCCTCTGTCCTGCCAGCCTTCACATTACCTCTCTCCATCCACCCTGCTTGCCCGCTCCAAGCAGTGCTGCCCCTCACAGGGCACATGTGCCAGGAGCTGGTGTCAGGTAGCCTGAGACCAGCAGGCCCACTGCCCTGTTCCCTGCACTTGGAGGTTTTGCAGGCCCCCCATCCCTGCCAAAAAAAAAAAAAAAGCACTTACCTGGCACATCAGGACCTCCTGGGCAGCCAGGATATCAATCCCCTCCCCTAACTGTACCTCCCCACTGTTAGCTCTCCTCCCCCACTGACCCTAACCACAGTCACTGCCAGTCCAGTAGGGATCAGATGACTCAAGCTTAAACCTACTACAAGATTACTGGTCTTGCGACCATGGCGTGGTGCTGAATGTCTCTGTGCCTCGGTTTTCCCATCTGTAAAGAGCACTGAGTTTACAGCAGCAGTGAAGACGCAGACCAAGTGAGCTGTGGAAATGAGAGGCTCCCTGGGAGTCAGTCTGAGGTTGGCTGAAGGGCATGGTTGGGGTGCACCCCTCTTCCCCAGGGCTGGGACCTCACTGACTCTAGGCTACACCACCCTGAGGGCCCAGGGAAGCTCTGTCCACCAGGGTCAGCAGATACTAAGCACTCATTGCCCACCCAGGGTCAGGCAAGACTGAAAACAAACTGGTCCATCCTTACCATGGAGTGCAGCCCAGCAATGAGAAGCAGTTTCAGCAGTCAATCCCACAAGGCCACACACTGTGTGTCTCTAGTCATAGAATACTCTTGAAAAGACAAGATTAGCTAGCATTTGCAGGGGCTGAAGAGAGGTGGGGCGGTTTGGGGGTGGCACCATGAAAGTCCAATGGACCTTCCCTGTGCCTGTCAATGTCAGTGTCCTGGTGTCATCTTAGGTTTCAGCTTTGCAAGATGGTCCTATAGAGAAAATTGAGTAGCTATACTCCTTACAAATGCATATCTATATATCTCAAAATGAAAAGTTTAATTGAAGATTAGTTGAAAAATTTAGAAAAAAAAAGGGAGGGGGTAGGTGGGGTTAAGGGACAGGCAGAGCCTGGGACAAGCCTGGCCCCAGAAGAGGAAGTTAGTTTCTCGGTCCCCACATCCTTCCTCTGGGGGAGGGCTGCAGGGCCGGGGGAGGGGTCTTCTTCCTTCAGCTTTTCATCCCCTTTCCCTTCCCAGGTGCCAATCTCCCACTGGACCTTCAGCACCCCCTTCTCCAAATAATCTAGCTCGTCCCTCAGCCCTCCCCCCAATCAACAATAGCCACCATGGCCACCATTTATTGAGTTAGAGCCCAGGCAGGCATAGAACATGCCCCCTCCCCTACCACCTCCCAGACTTGGCCCTGGGCCAGAATAGGGTACAGGTATCACCCAGGGCTGGTGATACCTGCAGAACAGTCTGGGTGGAACTCAGGGACAATCCTACTCTGTAATGAAGGGCTGCCCTTGACCTCTGTGGAGTGAATACCTTCCCTCTCTCTTCCCTTCTCCCATAGGTGAACTCTCCCATAGTGTCCGAGGCCATTGCTGAGTGAGACCCCAGGCTGGCTCCCTGGCCATGGGGCAGAGCAACACTTTGAACCCAGTTTGGGGTACAGAAGGTTGGAGAGCCTGAGAACTCCTTTGGGGGATCCCTGGAGCTGTGGAAATCTTGTTTATCCAGACCCAGACTGGCGTGAGCTTGAGCAGGCCCCGCCAAGAGGGCCCCTGTGGTAGAAGAAGTGGTCACATGCCGAGTACTTGCTGTGGTGACCTCATCCACCAGCTCTTTGTCATCTTCTCTCCCCACTTCCTCTGAAATCAGCCCTGCGCTGCAGGTGCAGGTGCCCCTTCCCACACCCCAGAGGCCCTTACGCACACCTGGCATTCCAGGGGCCAGCCCTGTGTTCGCAGGAGGACTGGCGGCGGGATCCCTCGCACTCAGCATCCCCAGCCTCAGTTTCCTGCATTCGGAGGAACCCCACTGCGAGCCTGGCCACTGTCGGTGCTTCACCTGGGACCGTTCCACTCACGGGCAGGGCTGGCTGAGGACGCGCTTCTTTCTGGTCCACGGTGGCCCGGGCACCAGGCGCGCCTTCGCTCAGCCCTCAAGTCAAGGGGACTTGACACCCTGGCCCTGCTGGCGCGGCGTCACAGTGGCCTGCGGTCCCCATGGCAACCCGCTGGCGGCGGCTCCAGGCGCGCGCGGAGAGCCCCAGACTGTGCGCAGCGCGGCTCCGCTCCTCCAAGAGGCGGGGCGCAGGCGGGGCGCAACCCGGCGCTTGAAGAGGAAGGAGCTCAGGGAGACAGAGAGGAGTAGGTAGAGGAACTGGGGAGTGGGTACCGGCGGGAGGCGGGTGGGAGTTGGGGACAGGGAAGGCAGGTCTGGGAGGTCCTTTCCTGAATTCACACCCAGCGCCATTTAGCTGGAAGCTGTTGTCCTCACAAAGGTCCCAGACCCACTGCAGAGGCCAACTCTCCCTGCATTGGTGAGGTATACCAGGCCTCCAGCCTGAGGGGGCTGCATCCGGGTCCTGGAGCCCTGCTTTCAGCCTGCACTCGCCCCCCAGAATCCCGCTCTGCTGTGCCCAGGGTCCAGTTCCTGGGCAAGGGTTGGCCCAGGGGCCTATTCTGGCCCTCCTGCTCCAGGAAAGTCAAGGAGTATGCGTTTGGGCAGTGAGGCTGCCTTGGGTCACATCCTTGCCAGGGACCTGTGTGGACTTGGGCAGTTCTGTTTGTCACTCATCCAACCCCAGGTTCCACAATCTGAGATGCCCAAGTGAAGTCGCTGGCCCAGCATGAGGTCACTAGGGGCCGGGTACAGCAGCCAGGGGTGTCGGGCCCTTCTCCAGGGAGCTCTGGAAGTGCGCCAGCTTGTGGTGTACCAGCCCCTCCACGGACATCCAGAGCTGGGCAGCAGGGCAGATTCTGGGGTCAATAGCTCAAATCCTAGAAGAACTGAGCAGAGTGTTGTCATCTATAGTTCCAGCTACTCAGGAGGCTAAGGTAGGAGGGTCCCTTGAGCCCAGGAGTTAGAGACTAGTCTGGGAAACAGTAAGACACTGTTTCAGAAATAAAAATAAACAAATAAATAAAAACCATGGAAGGAGACAAACTAGCAAGCTTATAGCCTCAGGCTCCCCATCTGTGAGATGGGGTGATGGTGTCTTCCCCCTTCATGTGGATGATCTAGTTCATCCAGGCACATGAAGCCCTGTGCACATGACAGCGCTGTAGGAGGAGCTATGGGGGTGGGGGGGGTGGGGGGTGCTGCTTCCTTTGAGCCCTAGCTTTGGTTAGCTTTTGCCTCCTGCTCTGCAACTTCAGGGAGGCATAGAGGGTAGGTCCCTGGGGAGAATCAGTAAGCAAAGATGGTCCACAAATGCCCCAGGGTGGGTTCCTTTGCTGCTGAGGACAACCAGGAGTCCTCTCCACAGCCCCAAGGACACCAGCCAACCCACCCTGGTGTCTGAGGGAGAAACTGAGGCTCATGCCAGGCCCCACAGCCTCCATCATTTACTGGGGCCATTCTGGCCCCAAGCCCTCTTTCATCACTGCAAAGGACAACTGGCCCCTCAGTAGAGGGCCCCAACATAAATTTTTGTCCAGCTGTACTGCCTGTCCATCTGGCCTTCCAGGCAGCCTCTTCCCAGAAAATTGTGCCCTGGGGGAGGGCAGAGGACCTGGGTGGTGTCACTGGCCAGTCTGATTGTCAAAGCTCACATCCAGCCCTCACCCCCAGCTCCTAGACAATGAACTTCCAGGTGACAGGCCTGAACCTGGACAAGATGAAGCTGGATAGTCCACAGTCCTTCCTGGATGTGGAGGAGGTGGAAGAGGCAGAGGATCAGCAGCTGCTGGACCCGGAGGCTTGGAGGACCTACATGGAGCGCCGTAATGTGCTGCGGGAGTTCCTGACCGCAGACCTGAGCCCCCACCTGCTCAAGCGCCACCATGCCCGCATGCAACTCCTCAAGAAATGCTCCTACTACATCGAGATTCTCCCCAAACACCTGGCCTTGGGTGACCAGAACCCTCTGGTGCTGCCCAGCACCATGTTCCAGCTCATTGACCCCTGGAAGTTCCAGCGCATGAAGAAGGTGGGCACAGCACAGACTAAGATCCAGCTCCTGCTGCTTGGGGACCTGCTGGAGCAGCTGGACCGTGGCCGTGCACAGCTGGACACCCTGCTGGAATCACCCGATCCACGACCCTTCCTGGCTGGTTGGGGGCTTGTGGAGCAGCAGCTGGCCGACTTGTCAGCCGTCATGGACAACTTCCTGGCCATGATGGTGCCAGGACGACTGCACATCAAGCACCGCCTGGTGTCCGACATTGGGGCCACCAAGATCCCACACATCCGGCTCATGCTGAGCACCAAGATGCCTGTCATGTTCGACCGGAAGGAGTCAGTGGCTCATCGGGACTGGGTCAGCCTGCGCTGGTTTGTCACCGTCCAGCCAGCTGCGCCAGAGCAGTTTGAGCTGCGCTTCAAGCTGCTGGAGCCCCGGACACAGCAGGAGTGCACACAGTGTGGCATGGTCCCTGTGGCTGCCTGTACTTTCGATGTCCACCACCTGCTGCCCAACCGCACCTACAAGTTCACCATCAAGAGGGCAGAAAGCTACACGCTGGTGTACGAACCCTGGCGGGACAGCCTCACCCTGCAGACCTTGCCAGGGCCCCGAGGGGCCACCCCCAGTCACAGCCTCACCTTGCAGACCTCACTGGGGTCTCGAGGGGCCACCCCCAGTCACAGCCTCACCCTGCATACCACTCCGGGGCCCCCCAGAGCTGGGCAAGTCCAGCTGCCCCTGATTGCACCTTCCGAGAGATGAGTTTCTAGTATTTATCCACTAATAAAGAGGAGTATACTCATGCAGAATTAAAGACACACCCCTACTTAGGTTTTAAGGCAGCAGCACATGTGTTTTCCTGATGTCTCAGCACCCCACAAGCTCCAGAACCCTCTCAGAAAATGCTCTCTTTTCCAGGGGAGCCCAGGCTGAGCCTTCCAGGACAGTTGGCCCTGGAGCAAGAAGTGCCAGCTCCAGCACCTGGCTGCAACCTCCAGTAATGAGAGCTGCTCTCAGGGGCTCAGCCACCTTCACCCCAGCACCTGTCCCCCATCACCTGCCTCCTGATTGGGGCTCCCTGAAGGGATGACATTTGGGGTCCTGCCTGGATACTTCTGAGGGCAGTCATAGCCCTAGTGTTTAGCATCCCCGGCTTTCTTGGAGCCAGGGTTCTTGAGGCTTAAAGAACATTTTATTTTTAAAATAAAAGATAAGTCTTTTATCTCCCCAAGGAAAGCTGAAGTTCGTTGGCACCCCGAGGTGGGTGAGGATCCTGGCAAGGGAGCCTGTGCCACAGCTCCTGAGGGGTAGCCATCCCTGCAGCCCACTGACCCTCCTGCCAGCTGCTGCTGTACAGCCCCATGTAGGTGACCCTCATGCTGCCCACAGAGCATCGACACTGTCCTCCAGCTTGGTCATGTGACCCTCAGTGCAGCCAGCAGAGCATCCCAAGCACAATCACTTGATTCAGGAGATGGGGATAGAGGTCTGGCCACCTCCAGGTCTAGAGGGACAGCACCTTGTGCCCTAAGTGAGGAGGGGGAGGGCTGGTAAAGGGAAGGAGTCCAGAGCCATCCCAGCACATGTGGGCCTAGCTTCCTTCCCACCATGGTGGACTGAGATGGCCAGGTCTACCAGGAGCAAATGCTCAGGGATGGAGAACCCTCACCCACTGACAGATTGGTGGCTTGGTGAGAGGGATGGGGGTCAGAAAGGCCCCAGCATCCTCTCTCATGTAGAGGTGTGCTTTACTGTTCTAGGCTCAGCTTGGTTGTGGGGGAGCTCCCTTCTAGGCTTCTCCAAGCCACCAGCCTACCCATGGCTCCTGCAAGCCAACCAGGCCTGTCACATTTGTAGCGTCATGTGGCCATGATGGACTTGCTTGTGGATGTTCCACAGGGTAGGGCTGTCCTTCCAGAAGGGTAGGCCAAAAATTACCTATATGTGTTGGGAGGTAGAGATTGGGTACACCAACCCTGCCAAGAGGAGAGGCCTGGAATGGTGGCTAACTAAGGGAGGTACAGGTGGGTCTAGGGGCCAGGTATATAGACTGGGGACTAAGCAGGCCCTGGTGCCTCCCATCCCCCACCCCACCAGGGCCCAGCCTTGTGCCCCATCTGCAGGTCCAGGGTAGCAGTGACCCAGAGGCAGGCACAGGGCAGAGCCACCACTAGGTGAAGCCCTTGGTGCTAGGAATAGGTTCATGCCCAACCCATGGCACACATCTCACCAGTGCCACCCCTCCTTAAGGTCCACTGCTCCCCACCTCTACCACACAACTTTGTTCCTGGTTGGAGCTAGGCTCTCTCCTTGAGAGGTCCAACACTGACCTAAAACCACTATCATCATTGTCTGGCACCAGTTCAGCTCCTGCTTCCTGCCAGGAAGACCCCATTCTCCAGAAACCCTCCCTGAGCCGACTGGTGAGGTCCTACTCTTCCTGTCTAGCGGTGCCTGTTCATCTCAGGAGATATCCCCAAACTCTGCTATACTTTTTATGGTCAGTCTAGAAATGCTCTCCAAGCACCACTTCTTGCTGTCCGTTCCTCTGGGGACACACAAGCCCAGGGACCTCTTTTCCCTAAAGTGTCTCTCTGTGACCTCCCATCTGCTCCTTAGGCTGCCACTGGAGGGCAGGGCCTGACATGCTTTTCCTGACATGCTGGGGAAGCCAGGAGAACCAGCCACAAGCAAGCCCCAGGCTAAAGGAACCCGTCAACCTGGAGAAGGAGACTGAAATACCCAAGAGCCCTGGGGAACAATTTCAGACCAGGCAGGATGCCCTCGAAGCCACAGGCATGGGGACATTGGACTTGGCCCCACAGGCTGCCTCAGGGCCAGCCCAGCCTGGGGACTTAGTACGGTGGACTGGGCCTGCACCATGACACATGGGCTCCCCAGCTGGGGCCTGTCCTTGCCAAGCCACCCCCAGCTATCTGTGTCCTGGGCACAGACAACCCCAGGCTGCACAGCCATGTCTTCAGCCATAAAACGGGATGTCACTGCCCCTCTCCTCAGGCTCCTGGGTCCAATTTTATCTCCTGTGTAGCCTTGACAGCCTCCATGGCCACTTCACAAGCAAGATGAAAGCCATCCCAGCCAGACTTCCAAACACCCAGAAGTGAGAAAGGATTTATTATACAATTAATATTCAATATATAATGAGGAAGAGATTCAAAAATCAGGTATTCTGATTTTTGCATCTCGATTTATTAAAAAATAGACACTCCTCCTGCAGAGAGCCTGCAGTGAGGCAAAGGGAGACCAGCCCCTCCTGGTATAGACAGCAAGAACTCAGGCCCCAGGAACAAAGAACTGTGCTGAGAGAGTGTAGCCCCAATGTTAGAGCTGCCTCGAGGTGGGCCTGGTAGCTGGAGGTGGACATGGAGGGGAAACTGTGCCCGCTCCTTCCCATCAGAGAAAGACACTCCCAGGCAAGTTGTCCTGGACCCTGGACCTGCGCAGGCACAGCTTGGGGCAGAAACACAAGCCCTGCCCGCCTCCTGCTTTCATGGCTTCTCTGCACACCTCAGGAGGGGCTCTGCCTTCCCCTTTCCTGTCAGGCAACCCTGCAGGACACAGGGCAGTGGAGGACAGAAAAAGTCTCCCTCCTCCAGGGAGGCCTCTTACTGAGTGTAAGAGATTGTTGGCTTTTAGTTTAAAACTAGAAAATTAGGTCAGCACATCCACGGTACTCAATGCAATCACAGAACGATCCAAAGGTCGAAGTACAGCCTTGAAGGGGTCCCCTTCTTGCCTAAGACTCTCCAGTAACAGCAGAGGTGTCTCTTGCCAATCTGGGACTCCTCATGGCCACTAAGAGGCTTCCCTGCCACCAACTGTCCCAGGAAAAGCAACATAACAGGGAGGAAATGATCCCACCCCAGCTCCTTCCTTCTCCCAAGCTCAGGCACAAACAGGAAGGTCACCACTTGGCCTGTTTCCCATCCAAGGAGAGGCCAACACCCACAAGACTGTCATTTCTTCATGGCCGTGGCCAGTGTTGGGGCCCTGCCTCAGCAGCAGCAGCAGAATATGATGAGGACCAACTGGGCACAAGGCCACGGCAATCTGCCATGTGTCTGGGCCTACAGCAGAGGAGGATGAGGAATGTTTCCTAGGGCCACTGGCACCTCAAGGGTGGACAGGTAGGGACTCTTCAAGAAGACACAGCTGGCTTCCTCTGGACCCGCACCTGCCCAGCAAGCACAAGACTCTGCTGGGCCTTGCAGAAGTCCAGGAGACGGCACCAGAGTGGACAGCAGCGCAGCAGGACCTGGTCTCCTGTGGGGAGAGTTGGGTAACTACCAGCCCCATCCCAGGGCTGCCTCACCCCAGTGCCCTCCTGAAGTCCCCAGCCCTCACCGATTAGACAGAGCCCCTCCTGGGCCCGGGTGAGGGCCACGTTCACTTGGTTGGGGTCCATGACAAAGCCCAAAAACTTCCTGAGCCAGCTTTTGGTTGGCTTCTGGTCCACGTCACTCTCAGGACATGTTCGAACGGTGCTCACCAGCACATAGCGCCACTCGCTCCCTGGAAGAGGTGAGCTCATGCCGTCCCCTCTGCACCCCTCCCGACCCCAGCCAGGTACGGCCTCCCCCAGAGTCAGCCTCACCCTGGCTCTTGGTGATGGAGGACACGGTCACTCCAGTGATCCCCTCCCGCTGGAGGTCCTTGATGATGAGTGCAGCTTGTGCGTTATAGGGTGTGAGGATGGCGATGTCCTTGGGATCCACTGTCCGGTCCAGGGTCAGCTGCTTTGTGATGCGGACCTGAGGGGATGAGGGGGCAGGTGGAACTGGACCCTGGGCCTCTTCTGACATGGGCACAGGAGACTCACTTGTTTCCTGGGGACTGTCCTCTCAAGGAAGCTTTCCTGAACCCCTCCTCCTCCCTGTCTCTGTCCCCTTCTACTCCCCTTCTACCTTCTTCCTTCTCTTCCTTTTCCTCTTTTTTCTCCAGAAAGCCGTCTCTGACCTACCAGGCAACAGGAAGAGTCTGACACTCACCACCTCTGCTGCCTCCTCCATGTTGGCCCTAGAGTTCTCATTCCCTTCATCTGTGGACACCAGCAGTCTCTGCTCATGGCCCTGCACATGGCCAAAGATGACAGAGCAGCTGTCCTTGCCCGCATGGCCTAGGAGGCTAGGCGGCCGCCGCAGGCCAGACCAGGTCTTCAGCCTCTTTCCATAGAACTCCATAGAGGGGAAGGAGCAGATGCCCTCGTGCATGCGGTACTGTGTGTCCAGCATAAAGGCGTCCCTGTGATACCGTTCGAAGAGAGACCGATCCATCCCCAGGTTTCGCAGCTGCTCATTCTTGACCACAGGCCGCAGTTGTTTGTGATCTCCAAGCAAAACCACCTAGAGGCACAGCAGGGGTTGCCCTGGCACTCCCACACCCAGAGGCACCCCAGCCCCTCTGCTATCTCCAACCCACCACAGCACTCACCTAGTAAGCCCCCCAGGAGCCCAGAGCAAGCTACACCCAGGGGCACTGGCCTGGGGCACCAGTTCCTTTCAACTGTCCCTCACCTTCTTGGCTTGTGAAAAGCACACCAGGGGGATGAGGGTTTCTGGCTCAGTGGCCATGCCTGCCTCGTCAATGAGGATTTGCCAGACATTCAGGTTTTGGAGGCTGGCTGAAGCAGCACAGGAACACGTGCACAGGATGACTGAGTGTTGGTCCAGCTCAAACTTCCGTGCCTTCCCCAAGATCTTCTTATACCTGCACAGGGTGCTTTCTGTCACCCTGACACCCCTGCTAGCAGGCAGCTCCACATCCCAGCCCTGCCACTTACAAGGCCAGGTCATCCCTAGACAAGGATTCCCCTTCCTGCAGTCGGACATCAAATTTCCTGATCCTTGGGGCAAACGGGTTGGAGGGCTGCCGGATTCGGTGATGCAGGGTGATGCTCCTGGGGACAAAGCTTCAGTAAACTCCTGCCCAATAAAGGGCAATCTGGACAGCTTGGGTCTCTCACCTCCATCCAAGTACAGACAGACAGGACAAACCTGAGGTTCTGGTTCGGCCTCCCCTCCCAGGAGTTCTTGCTGAGCAGGCCCTTGCTGCCTACTCCTGGCAGTGGGAACTCAGTGGCCTCGGACTGCTCGCTGTACACACGCAGGGGCCTCAGCTCTGTCCTTCTTCTCAGGAGCAGTCCTGGGGGTAGTTGGAGACATGAGGGACTGTCCCTTGGTGCCCAGCACCCCTGGCAGCCCCACACATCACCCCTGCACACCTGCCAGGACATCCACCGACTTGTTCGAGGGGCCGCAGTATAAGATGCATGGGCCTCCCAGCCGCTCCTCTCCATGAGGACCATTGCTTGTCAGTACCTGCTCTTGGTTTGATCTGTGGAACCAGTATATGATGTGGAGACCCACGACTGTCTTCCCTGTGCCTGTGTACAGAGAGAGAAGTGAGCAGAGCCTACCCTGCTCCCCGTGGCCCACACCTGTCTGGGGCAGCCCTGCTCCCCCTGCCTGGGGGCCCCACCTGGTGGACCCTGGATGACGGTGAATGGTTTCTCCAGAGCCCTCCTGATGGCCCTGTTCTGGCTGGGATTCAGCTGGTAGTGTCCTCCAGGGATGTTATAAGCCTGTCTCTCTAGGAACCTGTTGGCAATAACTGCAGGGGACAAGGATCAGGGCTCCCTGAGCACCTGTGCAAGATGGAGAGGGGCAAGAGGGAGAGCTAGGGGCAGACCTACCCCTGCAGAGGGGCCGTTGGCGAGGTGAGGGGCAAGGCTGGGGGATGGGCTGGCCTAGGGCAATACGGATGGCCAGTGAGGACGCCTTCTTCAACCGACGCACGGCTTCCTCCTTGCGGCTGGGGGTGAGGAGGGACATCAGCACGTCAACCAGATTCTCCTAGGGAAGGGGCTGCCCCTGCCCATGAAAGGGTTGCCCAGGGAGGTCTTGCCCACTGGCCTTCAACGGTCTCTCCCTGGCCACAGGCCAAGGAGACACTTACAGGTCTGGAAGCTGCTTGGACAGCACCTCCACAGTGAACTGGGTGCCAGGCCTCAGCACCTCTTCTGGAACCTTCTCCATAGCCATTTGGTGGATGGAGAAGTGCACTTTCCTGGGTGCCTCCTGCTGGTCCACACAGCCCTCCTGGTCCCAGTTGTCAGCCAGCCCATGTGCCACCCAGGTATAGGTATCAGGATCAATGCTGAGGAAGGGGCCGAGGCTGCTGGGCCCAGGGGGCTGGGAGGGCCGGGGAGCCGGGAGCTCCTCTAGCCGGATGCAGAGGTAGCAGCTGCCAAAGTGAACTTCGATGCATTTTTCCTGGAGGAAGGCAGGGTCCAGGTGGAAAGTGCCTTGCAGCTGCCCCTGTGGTGTCCGCTTCTCATCCCAGGAAATGAGCACATGCTGCAGTGTAACAGAGTCACATTCTGCAACAGCGTTGGTGACAGACTCCAGGGCACAGAGTGGCCCCCACACCTGGAAGTACTCTTTCACATTGTGGTACCAGTCCTTCGAGGCCCGGTACGTGTGGCCTGAGAAGCAATCTCCCGGCTGCTCCATGTGCTCCAGGCAGAGGCTGAGGCCAGGCACCACGGTCCACAGCTGGAGGGTTGGTACCAGGAAGCCCCGCTGTACGCTGGCACTGAGCTGTACCTGCAGCGTGTCCCCACTGCTGAGCTCCCGGGTCACCTCCACAAAGTGGCCACAGCGGCTGTGGCGTACCTGCACCATCTCCCGTGGCTGGGACTTCTCACCCTGCTCCTGGATGAGGGCAGCCACCTCAGGCCAGCGCTGCTCCTCCACCAGCGCCAGCAGCTGCTTCCACAGGGCTGCATCGACAGTTCGGGTATGTGGGTCCAACAGGGTGCCCAGCTTTGGGGAGGGCGGTTTGGATGACTGCATTGAGTAGATACGGCGTCGCCATACAAGCTGCAGGCCTGGCCGGCCCACCAGGCTGTGGGGGTGGTCAGCCAGCTGCAGAGAATGGTAGTGGACAGCACAGGGGTCGGGCAGTGTCTCCCGGTTGACGGGGAAGAGTAGCTTGAAGCAGCGGACGCCAGTCTCCACATCCACCACAAAGCCCAGCTTCTCTCGAGGCTGGGCGTGGAGCTGGGTGGCCAGGTACAAGCTGCGGGCCCGCCGCTGGAAGCTCTGGGCACATGCATGCTGGCGGCTGAAGTCCTGGCAGAGCCCATCAATGTCTCTGGTGGAATACGTGGAGCCCCCACAGCCCAGTGCCAACAGGATCAGTCGCTGCAGTATCACATCCAGGTACCTGCGGATGGGTGAAGTGGCCCACGTGTACCAGTCCACCTGCAGCGAGTAGTGGCCTGCCGGCTGCTGGTCACCCTGGCTGGAGCGGCTGAAAACAGAGCGACCCAGGGCCTTTCGGAAGTCTAGGCCCACAGGAGCCAGCGAAGGGTGCATGTCATCTGCAGCAATGAGGTCCACCATACGGCTATAGTCCTGGGTGCGGGCGGCAAGCTGGACATGCGTCCAGAGGGAGGCCAGGAGGTGCAGCTGCGTGCTGGGGCTGTTGCGAGCATGCAAGTGGTGGCGGAGGTGCAGGGACAGGGGTATCAGCTCTCTGTGCCTCTCACATACGGTATCCAGCTGGTGGCTGCTAGGCATGGGCTGCCACCGCAGTGGTGTGACCATCTGTGTGTGCTTGTGACCCACCAGGAATTCAGCCACCAAGCTATTAAACTGAATCATGTACTCTTGGACCATGATATGGGCTGCACGGAAGCCCAGAACGCTGTCTTCATCTGGTGGTTCATAGTGGCAGGCAGCTCGCAGGCGGTGCTGACGCAGCACCTGGGAGAAGTAGCAGGCAGCCACCACACAGGCCTCCACGGTATCCAGATGAGCTGGTAGCTCTAGGCCAGCTCCTGGATGCCCCTTGATCAGTGCCTCGGCCTCCTCGTAGGACAGCTGGCAGTCAGAGCGGATCACGGAGGGCGCAAAGCGAAGGCTCTGGAGCTGACCACTGCCCTTCTCCATGGTGAGGAAGAGGGAGATGGCAAGGCGATCCTGGCCTGGCAGGAGGCTGAGCAGGTCCTGGCAGAGGCTGGCTGGCAGCATGAGCACTGGCTCCCTGTCGGGGGCATAGAATACAGTGCCCTGCCGGCGGGCCTCCACATCTAGTGCCCCATCCCTGGGCACCAAACTGGCCACATCGGTGATGTGTACAACCACCTCATACTCAGAGCCCAGGTCCCGGACACTGAGGGCATCATCAAGGTTGCAGGCGCCCTGGGGGTCCACAGTGAAAGTCAGGATGTGACGACAGTCCTCTCGGTGGCTGGTAGCCATGCTCAGCTCCGCACTGTATTTCTGCAGCACCTTGGAAATGGAGGCTGGGTCTGGCGAGGGGGCCCTTAGACCATGTTCCAGGTCAAGGACATGAAGGCCCTGCTCCCAGGTCGTGGCCTCAGGTAGCACCTCCAGGACAACGCCCAGTGGGTAGTAAAAACGCTCCCGCCACAGGACGATGTGGATCCAGAAGAGCCGGGTTCGCCATGCGTCAGCTGTGAGACTCTCATTCCTTACACGCTGTACCTGGCCCTGGAGGAGGCGATGGATTGGAACCTGCTGCCGGTCCTTCAGCCCAGCCACAAAGATCTTAGTGACAGAGCCATTGATAGGGATCATGATGCGGGGATCCCACTCGTCCATCCGGCACACGAAGGCCAACTCTTGTCTTCTCCTCTTCAACACGCCCATCACGCAGCCCTGCAGCCGCCCTGGAGCAACCCTGTCATTAGGTGAGCGACCTAGAACCTTCACCAGCACCTCATCCCCCGTGAAGGCCATCCCACAGTTCAGGCGGCCCCTGACCTGGATGGGGCTGGAGGCCATATTGTCCAGCGGGACAGCTGATGCCCGCTCAAAGGTCTCCTGCAGGAAGGTACAGCGGCGGTACAGCTCAGGGTTTGTGCGCAATAGCTTCCGCAGTGTGGCTGAGGGCAAGTTTGTGTGCTGCTGGGCCTTCTGTGGGGATGTGGGCCTTGCCATGATGTCCAGCAGCCCATCCTCCCTGACAGTTATCATGACCTGCCGGCTCTCATCAAGAAGCTCCTTTAAGATAGCATCATCCTCATTGAGCTCCCAGTTAGAGGGCCAGAAGTCAGACTCTGAGTCCTCAGGGTCCTCAGACACCCTGTCCATCAGGGAAGTTGCTCCTGCTGCTGCATCCCCAGGGGATGAGCTCTGCCTTGCCATGTCCCCTGCTGATGCTGCTTCTATCTGTGCTGTGGCTGCCTCCCTCACTGCTGGGCCCCCAGCAGTTGTAGTCCCTGCCTCTGCCTTCACTGTGGCTGCACTTTCCTTGCGCATAGGTCCTGGCAGGACTTGTACCACAGCCCTGTGCTCCACAGCTGAACTCCCAGCTGTCTCCTTCAGGATGGTGTTCCCGGCCACTGTTGTCCCAGGCTCCTCTGCTCTGAGGGCCACAGGGGCCCACTGCCACCTCTGGGTCACACCTTGCTCAATCTGCCCCAATGACAGGCCCTCAGGGCAGACGCTGTGGTGCTCTATGCACTCCTTGATGAAGCTCTTCCAAAGCTTGCTGCAGGCCCCAAAGGAACAGAGAGCCATGGCGTCACCCACAGCCACCAGCTGGGACTGGGAGCGGGTCATGACGGTGTTCAGCACACGGGCGTCAGTGAAGAACTCCGAGGTTGGTGCCCCAGAGCTGAGTAGGCTGTGGCGACTGTGGACAGTGCTCAGCACCAAAACCCGGAATTCTCGCCCTGCAGAGAATGCAGGTCAGGTGGCCAGGCAGGATGATGGACAGACCTCCACCCCCCAGTCCCACCCCACCATTGCAAAACTGAAGAATGGGCTGGAAGCTGCCTCCCTCCCTGGCTGGACCCAGGCCTGCCCTGCCATGACCTACCTGGTAGGATCTCAAAGCTGCCCACCGATACCTCACCCAGGTTCCTCTTCCTCAGCTCCTGCCTCAGTGCAGTGACCTAGAGGCAACATGGACCGGGGCGCTCAACAACTGCTGCTTAGCAAGGCAAAGACCCTCCCACCTAGCCCTGGACACCCACAGCCCTGGCATTGGTCATGTGGTTCAGCCTTGGGAGGTGGACTCAGCAGCCCCTCTCCAGTGAGGAAACTGAGGCCAGCTGGGCTGGGCTCACCTGGGCACCATGAGAGACTGCACAGATGTGTCTCTGCTTCCTGCTGCCCCAGCAGGGAGGCCAGGTGTTATAGACCTCCTGCACCTTTTCCACCACCTGGGCCACCTCGGCCACATTGAGCCAGGATGTCATGGACATGTCCCGCTCGGGGCTTCCTGCCACATGGCAGAACATGAGCGGATAGTGTCGGGGGTGGCACGGGATCTTGCCGCTGGCCTGGATGGGGTTGCCCTTGGCCATGTAGAAGTGGCGTGAGACAAAGCTGATGATGGCAGCAGTGGAACGGTAGTTCTCATGGAAGATGATCCGGCTCTGCTGGGCAACCTCATGCACCTCCTGCTGGTAGTGTAAGAAGAGGCGGCACAGCAGGGTGTGCACTGCCGCCTTCGCCCTGGCCACACTGAAGAGCCTGGGTGTGACCTGCATGTGGTCCCCTGCCAGCACCACACGGGTGTGGAGCGAGGCATAGGCCAGAGGAGTGATGGCTTCACACTCCAGCATCTGGGCAGCCTCATCGATGAAGATGTGGGAAAAGAAACCCACCGGCACCCTGAACTCGCGGGCCTGGGAGGTGGTGGTGACCACCAGGCGGTGCTGCACCAGCTCTGGCATAGTGGGTGGGCGGAAGGCCCGGCGATCCGGGGTCAGGCAGCAATACTGCAGCGTGGTCGAGTCGGTCTGGTTCAGCGGGCGGTCCGTGTACATCACCCGGAGTGGAACTGCCTCTGGGTGGCCACTGCTGACATAGCCATGGAAATACTCCCGGATGTAGATGTCGGCAGCACTGTGAGAAGGATGAGGCACATGGGTTGCCCACTTGGGCTCAGGCTGTCTGCTAAAACTTCTACTGTGTTCTCAGCCCTGCCTGGATGCCAAAAACACCCATGAGGTGAACAGACAGAGGTCCCGCCCAGGAACTCAAGTATCCTCAGAGGAGACACACAACAAAGACACAGGTCAGAGCCCAAAGAGGAGGACTGTGCAAGGGCATGAGAGCCTGGGTGGTCAGGGAAGGCTTAGAAGAGTAGCTGATGTTTGAGCTAAGGTAGAGGAAGGAGGAAAAGAAGCTAACCATAGCCCAAGGCAGCCCAAGGTGGCCAGGGGCTGGTGCTAACTATGAGCATGGCTCCCCGGTGCTGTCAGCAGCAGGCAGCAAGATCTGGCACCCCAGTTCTCAGAAAGAGAGTCCAGGGGTCAAAAGGCCAGGAAGGGAGGGGCCTGGGCATCTTCTGGATAGGCCACAGTCTTGGTTCCCTGGGTCTCTAGACTAGCCCAGTAATCAGCCCAGGCCATTCTGCCACCCCCGCTCTGTGCTGTGGCACTTAGTGCCTGCTGCAGTATGTGGTATTAGGGAACTAAGAAATTCATATTGACCAAAGGGGAACTTCTTAGTCAAGAAATCTATTTTTGTAAAAATCAAAATCAAGAACCTTGTCCCAGGAAACGGGTTCTTCCCACAACTCCCTCCATGGTCAGGGCCTCCAGGGAGGCACCTATGCTTCCTAACCCAAATAACACCCATCATCTCAGGGCACCCCAGTTAGGCCTGGTAAAGCCCAGGGCAACCAGTCATCAGCAGAGTCCCCATGAGATTCAGAGGGCTAGATGCCCAGGAGGCAGGGCTAGTAGTAGGCACACTGGGCAGTAGCTCTGGGCTCACCTATTAGTGTGTGTGCAGATGAGCACCTTGGTGTGGGGCTGCCGAGCAACCTCCAGGGAGGCCATGGCCAATGTGTAAGTCTTGCCCGTGCCAAAGGGGCCATAGATGAGCAGTGGTGGGACGGGTTTCATGCCCTCAGGGTTGATACCCGCAATCAGCCCCATGGCCAGCTTCTGCTTGCGGTTGCCACAAAATGCAGGCGGGATGGGCCAGGTACGGGGCAGGACACAGGCAGGCAGGTCAGGCACCACCAGGCGCACTTCAGGAAGCATGTCCACTGCCTGGTGCCAGAGCCGGAAGGTCAGGGGGTCAATCTGGAACTGCACCTCCAAGATGGGGCTGGCCTCAGGCTGTAGTCCCAGGGCCATGCAGCAGCGTGCTGGCAGCAGCAACCACAGGGCCTGCTCTGAACTGGCCCGTGTCTCCAGCCGCACCTCGAACACAGTGTCATCAGGTGCAGGTACAGGGGCCACAAGGGCTGTGCTGACTGCCCGGCCCAGCAGAAAGCCCTGGTCTGAGTCTGGCATCAGAGAGGAAGGGACAGGGACTTCAGCATACAGAGATCCTGGCGGAGCGAAGACCATGCCAAGTGCTGGTGTCTGTAGCACAGTCTTCAGGGACACCTGGCCCCTCAGGGTCAGCCTGGTAGGAGGATCTGTGTCAGCTCTCCAGGCCACAGGCACAGACCTGGCTCCATGTCCAGACTCTGGCCACCCCAGCCTGCCCACCACCTGACTCACTTGGCTACTAGCTGCTGCTGAGCCATCTCCTCCTCATAGAGGAAGTGGTGCATCATCTGCCGATAGTTGGTGTGAGAGATGGGGCCCGAGGTCAGACCTTGGCAACTGGGCTCCAGGGTCAGGGTGGGCATCTTGTACTTGGCCATCAGAGCCACCTGCTCAGCTGTCCGCTCCACGCCAGGCACTACATGGCGGTTGTGTGTGTCCCACCGATCCAGCTCCTCGGGATGACCAGGAGCTGGCCTCCCACAGAGTCCTTGACAGTGGGTCTGGCCCAGCTGTAGCCCCAACTTCCGAAGCAGCACAGGCCGGCGGCCAAAGTCAAAGACCACCCATTGCTCAAAGGTGCCAAAGGAGGCGGCCCGCACACGCACCCCCACCCGGAATTCTGCTGGGGAGTGGGGCACACAGAAGCGCTCACCCTGTGCATACAGCCGGCCAGGTGGGAGGTGGGGGGCCACCAGTGAGAAGTCTGCTCCGGGCTCCTGCTTGAGCAGGGCCACATGTAGCAAGGGATCCTGAGGGGAAGGGACTAGATGTGAGGTGGGCCCCTAGACCTTGTCCCACTCTTCAGGGTCCAAGATGATGCCTAATCTCTCTTACCCCAGGAGAGAGGCAGTTCAACTGCCTCTCTGGGTGTGGGACCCACAGGTTGCTTGACCTCTCTTGAGCCTTAGTTTCCTCCTCTGCACATTGGGGATCATGGAACCCTCCTGAGGCCCCAGGAGGTTAAAAGAGGCAGTCTGGGGACTTCAGGGCCATGTGGTTACTGGCCTTACTCACTTTCTAGGTGCCAGACACCGGTAGATCTCTTCCTTATTTAACTGCCCTCTCCATAGGGTGACCACACAGGGTGGGGGTGTCATGATCACCCTGTTTTCAAGTGAGGAAACTGAAGCAGAGAGGCTGAAGGACTTGCCCCAGGTCACACAGTCACAGAGGCAGAGCCACCAGGCATTTCATGTCGGCCCAGCTGTGGTCCTTATCCTCTGAGAACCTCTCCACTTGGGGCTTGGGCTACCCACAAGGCCTGAGATCTCAGAACTGTGTAAAACCCTCACCTCAGAGTGGATGGTGAATGTCCAGGTGTGCTGGGCCTTCTCCTGGGCTTGATTGAGTACCAGGGGTTGGTGGCAGGTGATGGATACCCCATGGATGGTCTCAGCCAGCTGTACAGGGAAGCCTGAACTTCAGTAGTGTGACCCTAGAGGCACTTAACCACCCATTCATGTGGCCCCACTTACCACTAGAACCTTGCTGCTGCTGGACAGGTACTCAGCCAGGAGCCGAGCCCGATAGGGCACTAGCCCATCCTGCCAAGCTGCTTGCTCTCGCAGCTCCATGGCCTGCGTCCGCTGGATCCACTCCTGAAGCTCCTGTGCTGAGTGCGCCTTGGTGCAGATGTCCCCATACTCGCAGAGGTCAGGCCTGTGGGATGATAGGGTCAGCAGGAACACATGGAAGCGCAGTCACAGGGGAACACCAAAGGCTGACCCCCTCAGCCCAACACTGGCCTGTGTGGGGAACAGGAATGGATTCTAGGCACTAGGGGAGCAGGGGCTGTATCTACTCGCATCCCTAGAAGAAGACCCTAGAATGAGAATAAGATCCTAGGATCTCCTTACCCAGATCCTAGGAGGGCCACTGTAGTGCCAGCCTGACATGCAGAGGGCATGGCAGGTGGCAGGGAGACCTCAGACTTGGTAAACCTCCCAGACCCTGGTGCTGGTGGAAAGGGATTCTTCCTTCACTCCAGGCTCCCACTCCACTGGCCTTACCTAGGGCAGAGCTCAAACTTGGAGAGCCCCATGGGTGGTACACGGTACTCCCACGGCACAGCCTGGTCGAAGGCAACCATCTGAGCGTGCTCCAGGGAGAAGCAGTGGTTCTCGAAGGCCTCCGGAGAGCGGCAGGTGACTAGGCAGGCGTGGCAATACAGCAGGACGCCTGAGGGTTGGTCACAGGCAGCTGTGCATTTGTCCTCCCTGAGGGCAGGAGGTGCGAGCAGGTCGCCCCTCTGGAGCCCACCCAGCCGTTCAGCTCCCCACACAGCCATCTCCACAGCGCTGTGTGCATACTGGCAACGTGATGCCCCGTGGCGGCATGGCTGCCCACGCTCCACAAACATGCAATAGTTTAGCTGCTTTCGGTTCTGGGGTTGTGGCCGCACCTCTACATACTGCTGCTTTCGGCCCTCGGTGCTCACGTGGATGAGGAGCGAGGGGCAGGCTCCATGCTTGGGACACTGCCCCTGGGGGTCTATGGGGCAGATGCTTGGGGGAGAGCACCTGAAGCAGTGGGCACAGAGCAATTGGAAACAGCCACCAAACTCCGTGCGGATGGTTTCGGCTGCTCCATGAGGCTCACCCTTGGTGCCCTGCACAGCAGCCTTCAGACACAGGCGGGAGAGGCTGTGCTTACGCTCGAAGGTCCAGACGAGTGCCTCCTCCGGACTTCGGGCAAAGGTGCACTGATTCCGATGGCGCCGGCAGCCCAGCCCAGGGCTGTAGTAACGGCAGACCTCATAGCGCATAGGCCTCGGGAAGCTGGGCCGGCGGCCTACCTTGCGCCAGACCTTGCTCTTGACATATGGCTTGCAGCGGGCCAGCAAGATCTCAGCAGGACAGTTGTGTTCCACCTCATGCAGGACGTAAGTGCTCTCATTGAGGCGCTGGGAGCAACGGGAACAGCCCAGGCAGAGGTCCACCTGGGCATAGAGCCCGGCCAAAGGCAGCCCCTTGGCGGCAGGGGGGTTGGCAGGTAATAAACTGCACCCTATGGATGCCATCTCCGACACTGGCCAGGTTCTTCACAGAGGTATGCCACGCTCCTGGGCAGCTGGTCTACAGGAACTGTGACCATGGAGAGACAACGGGAGAGGAGGAGCAGGTTAGCCTGAGGTGGAGAGGGATTCACACACCCTCCACCAGGCAAAGGACAGAGAATTTACCCCAACCTTGGCCTCTTGAGGAGTCAGAGTTCACTGACCTGGCCCCTGCCAAAGCCCACTCCTTCTGCAGGTTTCCAGGCCCTGCCCAGAGGAGCCAAAGTGGCAGTTGATAAAAGAGAGCCCTGGAGACCATGGAAGCCCCCAGCCAGTGCCTCTGGACCCAGTGAGGACTAGGGCTACCCCACACACAAGGCCTTCCTGCTCCAGTCTCTCAGCCCTTCTAAAGAGAGCAACGCCTTTGCAGCCCACCTGGATTTGGCAGCTGAGGTCTGGGGGATAAGGGTTCAGTCTTGCAAAGGCCCAGCCTGCCCAGGTGGGACAGTTGACACCAGAGCTTCCACAGGAATGCCAGGAGGAGTGGGGACACCCAAAGTCCAGGGTTTCAGTTGGTGCCACTCCAGGGGAAGGGGGCAGTTCCCCCAAACACAGCCAGGTCTAAAGGGAATTTTTTTTTTTCATTGATGGGATGGAACCCTGGACCTTTCTCATGCTAGGCAAGCACTGACCACTGAACCACGCCCCAACCCTGTAAAAGGAACTTTCAAGGGAAACTTTAGGGTATAAGATGATGTTTTAAAAGGAAACAATGGGTGCAGTGAGAGCCTAAGGATCCACCTGCACCCCAACGGAGATTTCTGAGTTCTCAGAGTTAAGGACCCCACAGCCAAGTATTTGGAGGGAGAAGAAGAGGGGCTGTGCTGCTGTGGGATTGGGGGTTCAGGAATGCCAGGGGGTCCCTCTGTGCCATCTGCATACAGGGGGAGGTCTCCATACTTCTCAGGTGGCCCTTCCTCTCCCCAGCCAGACTTTCTTGTCCCCAGGTCCCCACCCACCGCCTGGGTGCTTACCCTGTGCACCAGTCAGCAGCGCACCGGTTCTGAGCTGCAGATCACTTTCGATTCTGCCCCTGGGGCGACTCAGACCTCTGACGCCTGATCGCGGAAATTACCTCACTGCCCCCTGCCCCGCCCCCGCTCCGCCCTCAAGTGATAGCTCCCCTCCCAGCCAGCCCTGGCCAGCTCCCCGGCCACCCTGCGGTGAGAAGACCCCCCCCCCACATCAACACTGCAGGATTCCAACCAGCCCTTTTGCAACCCCAGCCTCACACAGACACCTCAGCCTCAGGTGTGGGGGGAGGGAGAGACGGGACCCTGGGCCAGTGACTTTTGGGGTCAAAAGATGCTCCTGGGGGGGAAGGGGGAGAAGGACCATTGGTTCTGTGGAGCTGAGCACAGGTAAGCCTGCTCTGGCTGTGAGATGGGATCCCCAGCGGGGAGTGCCTAGACTAGATAGCAAGACCCTGTCTCAGGAAAAACAAAAACAAAAAAACAGCATGGAGGACAGGAAGTGTAGCTAAAGCAGTAGAGCACTTGCTTGGCAAGTGTGAAGTCCTGAGTTCAATCCCTAGTCCCACAAAAACAAAAAAAAACAAAACAAAAAACCCAGTATGGAATACTATGTTCTTGGATAGGGAGATTTAACACTACGTAAAGATGTCAGTTCTTCCTAAATTTGCCTGTGAATTTAATGCAGTACTAATGAAGTACTAAGAGGAATTGGGGGCAGGTAGACATGCTGGTGCAAAGTTCATTTGGAAGAGCATCACATAAACAAGAAGAATAGGCAGAAAAATCACTAAAAAATGTCTCCAGTCCTATGAAATACAAAATCTCAGTGTAAAGCCACCAAGTAAGAATGTGGAGCACAGATGGACAGGCAGATCACAGGGACAGAGAGGGGTCCACAAGATCACTGCAACAACGTCTGAGGAGTCTAGCACGCAGTGAGGAACAACATCCAGACTACGGCGGAAATGTGTCTGTCCAACATGTTTTGTTAACAAAAATGACAGCAGAACAGCACCTACACCAAAATTAAGTAGCAGAGAAGCCTAAGATTTAAACAGGAAAAAAAAAAAAAAAGGAAACAAAAAACCCACAACCACCATAGGAGTCCTAGAAGAAACCAAGGTAGAATGTGTTTGGTAGTTAATAGTCTTAAAGTGGGACCAGCTTTCCTAAGTGAGACCCATCCCAGCAGTCAGCATGCTGGAGCTGGCTCGTCCCCACTCGGGGTTCAGGTGTTCGGGTGGTAACTTGAAATAGGCCACAAAGGCACCCTGGAATATTTTCCTTCCCAAGAGAAATGGTTGTTAGACATCTACCAGCATGCCACTGATAAATTCATTAAAAATAAAACAATTTTACACAGGGGAAAAAAATCACATCAGTAAGTCAAAAGCCAAACACAAACTAAAAAAAAATTGTAGCTCCTTTCACAGGTAAAAGTCTAACTTCTTTAATGGAGTATTTATTTCAAAGAGTGTATAAATTTAGAAAAAGGCCCACAGTTTGAGAGAGAAACAAGCAAAGGATGTGAACCAATACTTCACACACACTCTCTCTCTCTCTCTCTCTCTCTCTCTCTCTCTCTCTCTCTCTCACATACACACACACACACACAGAAATAAAAATTGCTCCAAATTTAAGGAAAAGTTTCACCCTAACTGTCAGGAAAATGCAAACTAGAATCACAGCCAGGCTGGGGTTCAATGAGGCCCCAGCAGGATGGTTGTTAGGCATCACTGGCCCAAAGAACAAGGGCAGACCCTGTGATTCCAAGACATCAGATAGGCAGTGAGTGATGTCTGGGCCTGCTCACAGCAGCCTCCCTGCTCATCACACAGACTGACTGACTCTCTGCGCTCAGTACTGGGGTACACCTGTACCTCATCACCAGCAGCCCCCTCCCATGCAGGGAATACTCTGAAGCCTTTGAAAAGGGGACAGCTCACTGTTCTGGAGATTTTTTTCAAGACACTTGGCTATAGAAGAAAATTGAGGTGTATGAAAATAAAAAAGTAGGTAAGCACAGAACCTGTTACAGAAACCAAAGTAAACTGTGGCTGAGGCAGGAAGGGGACTTCTTGTTGTCTCAGCATTGATTTTTGTACAGTGCCTTCTTTTCTCAATGAAAATAACGAGAAAAACATATTACCTCAGGTACAAATCATGCAGACTCTGCACAGGGGCCCAGAAGTTGCCGTGGGTAGATCACTGGCCTCTCAGCTGTGCTCAAGCCAGAGTCGGTTGCTGCCTTTCTGGCCTCCCAGATGTACTGATGCTGACTACATCTAGTCCCCAAGCCCAGACTCCTCTGGGACCCTAGACACTCACATCTCTCAGCCTTTTCAGCATGGCTTCCTGAGTGTGTAGCAGGCACCTCACATATGCCTGGCCCAAATTGGTCTCCTCCTACTCCTCCAGCAGCTTCCCTGGCCCAGCAAAGGACACTAGGATTCTAGGCTGAAAGGAAGCATCCTAGATGCTCCCTACATCCAACATCCTACATCCAACAACCAGCAGCAAACACCATAAAATCAAAGACAAAAAAAAAAGCTGATGCAGACTTCAGTCACCCTATCCAATCCGGCATCCTTCTGTGGCCTCCTGCTTCCTCTTTCCTGTGACCATCAAGAATGAGGACTGACTGCAGGAGGTGTTCAGCCACCACAGTGACCATACAGACAGCACCTGAACCAAGCAGTCAGAGTTCACATCATCAGAAACACACAGACTGTGGCAAGGCATCCAGAACACAACACCCTGCTTCCTGCCAGAGATTCAAGAACTCGACTCCATCACAAGGACCTGCCACACAGACCCCAGAGTAATGTTCAGTGACCGTCTGTTTTCCTCTGAAAGATCCAAAGGAGGCCAGATCAGACCAAGGCCAAGAAGGCCTAAGAACCAAGTGTGACAGAACTCTGGAATGGGACCTTACAACTAAGAAGAAAACTTACATATGCCTGAAGTCATTAGATAGTTAACACAAGTTTAACACAGGCTGTGTAAGTACCACCATTTTATGTCAAATTCCTAGTTGTACCGTCAACATGCCCTTGGTCTTAGAAATATATACTGAAGTGTTAGGCCTAAGACATGATCTCTTACTCCCAGGAGTTCAGAAACAAAAAGATATAAATGCAGATACCGTAGGAACAGATGGAAACAATTCTGAATCCAGATAAAAATGTACAGAAGTTCTTTGCAGCGTGTTTCCAACTTTCGTGTGTTGTTTACATTTTATCAAATTAGATAGAGACAAAATATCTGCTCTCTACACCCTCAGTTTCATTTCCGCCTCAGTTTCATTTCCGTAGGCAAACCTGACCGTGAACACTTCTAAGTGGGTCAAAGGCACTTCCATCTCACCACACCCTCTACCGACCAGATGCCCTCCAGGCTCACTGACAGTGGAAGTCCTCCAGCCGGGCCCAGCTTGCTTGCAAGGCAGCCATGTCCACTCAGCTGATCCTAGCAGCTCTGGTGTGACCACCTAAGTAGCACTTTAACATCTGTCTCTGTCCTCCCAACACTTCCCACGCAGCCAGAAAGTATGCCATAGGAGTGAATGAAGCAATTGAATGTGTCAGAGAGGGCCCAGCTCTCATAAGTACCCCAGGGGTTCTCTCTCTGAGAGTCTCCTCCTGGGCTGGGGAGTGCTGCATCTCTACCACAAAGACCAGAATGACATCCCCTGCCTGGGAAGGGTCTGATCCCTGGGTCCTCCTAGCTGCTCTCAACCCACCCTTTCCCACAGCACATGCCACATGCTCCAACCTCCACTTCACTGACCCAAATGTGCACAGTGCCTGCAGCCCTCAGATCAGACCCTGTGACAGAAACCTAGGGGCAGTGACCATCTCAACAAGGCCAGGAAAGGGCCTCAGAAGAGTGTCAGAGCCCACAGGGGTGGTGCCATTCCTGCCTACCCCCATCCCACTGCTCTGGACCTGTGAAGCCGCCTTGACTCCCATCAAACTTACAGCTGGATCAGACCCCTCCTGAGGGTCACTTTGGTATATCCCCAATGGCCCACTACCCTGGGTGGCCCTCTCGCCTAGTCATTCTGGGTCTTCACCCCTACCCCTACAGCCAACTCTCCAGAACAATGAGGGAAGTGCCACGCTAAGGACAAGGAAGGGTGGGTAGGTGAGACTTCCCACCACATATAGGACAGCTACATTCCTAGCAAGGGTGCCTGTCGTCCCAGCTAGGTAGGAATCATAAATAGGAGGACCACAGTTCTGGCCTGCCTGGGCATAAATGCAAGACCCTATATAAAAAATAACCAAATCAGAACTGGTGGAGTGGCTCAAGTGGAAGAGTCCCTGCCTAGCAAGCATGAGGCCCTGAGTTAAAATCCCAGTATCATTGAAAAAAAAAACACAGAACTGGGGATGTAGCTCAATAGTAGAGTGTTGGCCTAGCATGCACAAAACTCTGGGTTTGAGTCCTCAGCACTGCCAAGGAAAAGAAAAAGTAAACCCAAAAACACAATAAAGCTCAACAATG